TCGTCTTCTTCCGGGATTCCCGGCATGTCGTCTTCGCCTTGGTCTTCGTCATCTGGCGCCTCTTCAGCAACATAAGCACGATGAACTTTTCCATGCTTGCCGTGGCCCTTCGGTCCTCGGCCTCCTTTTCCTTGGTCCTTGCCGCCCTTTGGTGCTCCTCGCTGACTGCCATCTGGATATCCAGACGTCCGATGCTGCACGTTCTCGAACTCCCGGTGGTAGGCCACAGGTGGCGTCGCCCTATGTTCAGGAAACTGCAGCTGGGCCGACTCGCGTATGCTGTCAAAGTGCAAGCTCTGGCCCGTCGCCACAAGGATGAGGCGCTGCTGTTCCGAAGTAAGGCGCATCCTGTCCAGCAACCGGCTGCCACGGGACTCGGCATCATACATCGCATTCACGTCGATCCTTGCAGCCAGCAAAGATTTCTCGGTCCGGTGATATCTGTTGCAAAAGGACCTGATCGATTCGTTGTTGTTTCGACCAAGGTATTCATAGTCGCGCAGGAACTTTCGCTTGAGGTAGATTGCACGTGTTTGGAGAGGCCGCCTCAAAGACTGCAAGATATTCTCTATCCCGCTCGGCGAGTCTATCTCGCCCATGTCCATGAACTCTAGCTCCTCTTCCGCCTCGCCTCTCAGAGACACGTAGAGCATCATCGCGGCCTCGTTCTTCGGCATGAAGGAGGAAACTTGCCTTTCCCACACTCGCACTTTTCTCTCATACCTGTCATACGCACGCACATCTTCCCGCGCATAGTTCCAGGTCGGTGGCTGAGGGGGCGCCCCGCCACGGTACTTGACTCCGGGCTTGGGTCCTTTGGAGAAAGACCACTCACCATCACTGCCGCGGTCCTTCTTTGAGAAGATCTCCCCCATGTCCTTTAGGAGCTTTCCCCTCCAGGTGCCACGGCCGTCAACATCTCGATCTTGTTCAGGGTCGTGACCTCCAGGCTGTCCTCGGGGCTGTACTTCCGGAGGGCGCCGATCTTGTCCTGAAGGTTCAGCTCGAGGTCGTTGGCCGCCGCTCTTCGCCGCAGCCGCTGCCGCCGCGCGTCGTTGTCATCGAGAAAGTCGTCGTAGTGGCTCCAAATTGTCTGGGTCCACGGTCGGGTCCGTCGTCGCCCGCTCCGACTCTGCTGTCTCACGGCGGTGTCCCTCGGCCCACTCTTGCCAAGGGAAGCTTCCAGCGGGACGCCGGGCTTCACGAGCCGACGGCGAAGTCGAAGACAGGCCATCCAAGGTCGAAGGTCGCCAAGGTGTCCCGGGCGAAGCGTCGAAACCATTGGGCTCAGGGTCTGCACGCGGAACATACACCCACGTTCCTGCTGGCGCCAGCCGTCGGCCGGGTGCGCTGCTGTTGTAGAAGTCTCTGCTGGAGCACACCGAGCAAAACCATCCATCTTGGTCCCGGCTGAACTGCTCGCTCTCACATCTAAAGCAAACCCAGCGTGGCGCAGGTGTTTCCAGGCGTGGTGGTTCCAAAGGTACCTCCTCAGATCGAAGCCTGTTCCCGCCGGATGTCGTGGCAGGAGGTTCGAGACCTGGTGGCATCCTCGGTGCAGCTGGAATCTCGGGCTGCTGTATTTCCTGGCGATCTTCATCGTCCAGCCAGTCGTCCAGCTCCTCCAAGCCAACATCAGCTGCCATCTCGCGGGAGCAGGGAGGCTCCGGTGCCAACTGACAGCACTGCAATCTCTAACACCGAAAGAGCATGGCGCCTTTTGCTCTAAAGAAAGTCTTGGCTCTCGGCCGCTCGAGAGGTAACAGTTCGGAGAAGCTCGTTCACTGAAAGCGCTCAAGTCCAATGGCGCTAAGCACGATCTTTCACAATATGAACAACAATGCTTTCACGGACACCCGGATCCCCGTGAAATCAGAACTCGGACTCCGTGAAATCATTTCACGAACTCCCGTGAAATTGTGAAAATAGTTCTGTTTTCTATACCCGAGCCCTGCTTAACAACTATTGTTATCATCAATGTTCTCCAGATAATTGGTGTTATGGGACTATTGCAAAAATGAGTTTCAAGGACTTTCAAGAATATTTACTTGCAAAATCTCACGGGTATGACCCGCACTGGCATCACCCTCAAGATCTCGCAAGCATCACCCGCAAGACCCGAAAAAAATCCACAGGCATCACCCGCAAATCCCGCAGGGGACACCTGCAAAATCTCGCATGTGTCACCCGCCAAATCCCGCAGGTGAAACCCCCGCCACACCCGACCCGCTACAAGGGTGTGTGGCAAAAACTACTCAAAGGGATGATACCTTATTCCTCAATGGCAAAGCAGGGCACCCTGACAACCACAATGAAGTAATAAGTAGTGGATCAGGCAACATGAAAACCAAAAAAGTAAAGGAACAGTGGGCGTGCAAATGTGGGCCACTAAGTGTTTTTTGCCCCGCTTGCCCCACTTCCTCTGGTCCCTGGGTGGAAAACGACATTGCCCCACTTGCCCCACTTGCCCCACTTGCCCCACTTGCCCCCGTGTGGGCCGCTAAGCGATTTCTGCCACTTGCCCTGCTTGGGGCCAAGTGGGGCAAGCGGGGCAAGTGGGGCAATTGGGGCAAGTGGGGCAGGTGGGGCAACCCCCCTCCTCCCCCCCTGGTCCCTGTCCCTACCCTTCCCCCCAAGGTGGTTTTCTCTGCGGGCCAACAAGTCTGCCTCAAATCGGACTGTATGTGAGGCAGACTTGTTTTGTGCCTCTTTCTATCTTTCACCTCCGCACCATGGGTCCCTGCCAGGGCAGCTTGCCGTGTGCGTTCCCTAACCAGAAGTCTGCCTCAAATCGGGCTGTGTTTGAGGCAGGCCTTTTGTGTCTCTTTGTTTTTTTGTCTGTGTACTATGGGTTTCTGCCGGGGCAAGCTTACCTCCTGTGTACCCTAGCCAGAAGCCTGCCTCAAATCGGGGTGTTTTTGAGGCAGACTTGTTGTTCGGGTTCAAGAGGCACAACAGCGAGCAGATGATGAATCCTATCTGGCGCAGGTAAGGAGCTGTAGGTGCCTTGTTTATGCCGCCCTACATTGGCCTTGCAGACGAGAATCTTCGTGTCTGAGCTCAAATGGTCGCTAAGGCCTTCGACGTCAGCAGAGCTCTGAGCCACGTACCCCAAACGAAGTGGTTGTTGCTTCAGCTGTTGACACTTGCCAGCGGTTCCTTTGGGAGCTGCTAAAAAGTTTAAGTGAATGGGCTGACGAACTGAGAGAAAAAAAGATATAGTAATACCTGGGAAAAGAAAGAAGATGGGAGGGAGGAGGTGCAAGAAGAAAGTAGTCTGCCTCAAAGAGAGTTCGGATTGAGGCAGACTTGTGGCTGGGACAAGCATGGGGCAAGAGGGGAGGGTGGGGGGAGGGTGGAAAGGATGAGGGGAAGGGGGGGGGGGAAAGAGGAAAGTTGCTGCAGGCATGAAGAGAGAGTTCAAACCTGTGAGCGCGGGGCAAACTGAGTTCGGCAGGACCCATGTGCAGCTCTGTTTTCAGCCACAAGTCTGCCGCAAAGACAGCCCGGATTGAGACAGACTTGGTTGGCTCCAGCCAGAAGAAAGGAGGAGGGAATGCCACTTGCCCCACTTGCCCCACTTGCCCCACTTGCCCCACTTGCCCCACTTGCCCCACTTGCCCCACTTGCCCCACTTGCCCCACTTGCCCCATTTGCCCCTTAGCTCCCGCAGCCTCCAGCCCTAAGCCCTGCCCCCGCCCCAGCCCCGCCGCAAGTGGGGCAAGGGCAAGTGGGGCAGTAGGGCAAGTAGAAAGTCAATTAGCTCTACCGCGCCACCAAGTGGGGCAAGTGGGCAAGTGGGGCAATGACAGTTAGTGGTGGCCGTGTGCGCCCCCAATGTAAAGGAATGAAAACAGATAACAATGATGGTTTAGACTGTACATATGGTAAAGATAAACCTTTTGTAGGGCGATTAAAGAAACAATTAAACGACATATCAACAGACGACATGCATTGAAACGATTTTGATATGAGATGAAGCAGTTGAAGGAGTTAGGATAAGGAAAGCTTTTTGAAGACGTGCTGTATCAACTATTGGAAAAGAAGTGATAATTTTCGTGCTTTACGAGGTTATGCCAATGCTTATTCGATTTCTGATATTGAGAGAATGGGATATGCGGGTTTAGGACATACATATGATCAGAAACCAATATTAAGAGAGTTTGCACAAAAAATAGAGTATGAAATGAATAGATGCTGAATTCGTATTGCTTCCTGCCTTTGCCCATTCCCCGACCTGGTTGTTCAGCTGCATCATGCTTAATATTCTTTCTACATTCGGATGCGATGTGGCCCGTGTTGCAATAGTGGCCTTCCCGTTCTGCTTCTGACTCAGCTTGTTCTGCTGGTCGTTGGTATTCGTGGAGACCCTGACGTGCTACCTTTGTCTTTTGAACCTGTACCTCTCCCATCGCCCTTTGTTTTGTCAAAGCTCCGACGTGCAACCGCTCAGGAGGAGGTCATGACTCTTGTCGCCCGATCTACCTCAAGTAGCTCCCCTTGAAACGGCCGGAGAGGGCTTCAGGCGAACGGAATTTCGGACCACACCGCATTCATCACGACCTCGACCTTGGTCTGGTCATCCAGGGCTTTCCCTTGTTCAAGTGGTGAACCACCTTCTAGTTTCGGCTCACATCAAAAGGCCAGCTGGCCCTAAATGTCTCGGGCTTAACCTGGACTGTTGTGAGCTAGAAGGCTCTGGCAAACCAAGCCTTAATTGTTTTCGCCTCAAGCTTGGTCCAAAGGGGCTCCCAACGACAAGCGTTAGAACAGGCTGTACATCGCAACATCATGTTAAACCAACATGAGCCACCCAGCCGCTGACCCACCTGGTGTTTTTGCGTTTTTGGCAGGGGCCCGCAGGCCCCTGAGCTTGACTTTCAGTGACTTTCAATCAGGTTGACGGGCCCGAGGCGATGCGCAGATTCTGCAGATTCTCTACATTTTACAACTGCTTGGGATGTATCAGTGCCGCAGGGTTGACAGCCCAGGGCTTCGACAATGAAGGCCATGATGCCAGGCGGTGCACCGGCCACACAACAGAGACCTCGACTCACTTGGACGTGTGCAACTTGCGTTCTCAATTTTCGTCGCAAGACTTCGCAAGTATCGACGCAGTGTTCACTCAGAATTCTGTATGCCTATCAGCTTGGCCACGTGCGACTCATGCTGTCCAGGAGAAGGCAAAGAATCGCGGCAAGGCTGACAATCCCTGCAGCCTGTCTTGGCATACGGGAAAACTTCGCCAGACCGGTGTCTTCAATGTGCCAGGCTCGCTCGGCTCACCATCGCAAGATGTTGGCGCCTTTCGACACTGAGACTCCCTGAAATGGCAATCTCTCTGCTGACGTTCTCAAGTCGCCGTCCCAGCCTCCGCCGTCGCAAATCCTGACCATCACACATGCTTTTTTCGTGCCAACAGGCGAGCCTCATGAGCCTGTCTCCATAATTCTTCACCCTAGGTCCCCAGTCTCCTGGGTGTCCGTGAGCTCCTGTCATGTGGGCGTGCCGCTGCCCACAAAACCAAAGCTCAGAGGCTCAGAGTGCACCTCGAGCCTGAACTCCGCCTCACAGGTCGCAAGTGCCTCTCGAGTCTCGTGCATTCTCGTGCATTCTCGTGCCCAGCGGCCCACCAGCGCACAACTCTCTATTCGTGCAGTTTTGTGCAAAAGAAAGTCATATGACAGGCTGACATGCTTTGCGCGCGGTCCTCTCGGAATCGTGTGGGCCTCTGAAGCGACACTCTGATCTGAGTCACTCTGAGTGGTCTGAGTGATCGCCAACAAGGAACGAAGAGCTTTTTTGTCTCTCTCGTCTCTGTCCTGCTCACCCGGATACGTCTCGCATGGCCTTCGTTTGCGACCTGAGCTGCTGGGCAGCTGCTGCATTGGTGCAGCTTACTGAGACTGCAGCTAGAAAACTTGGGCACAAAACAGTACAGCACACGACAAGTTGCTCAATTCACTTCACTGTTCAGGACTTATGCTGCTCGCAACAGAAACTCACACGAATCTCCCTGCAAATCTCGCAGAGCATCTCGCAAGTTTCATCTCCTTGCCTCATATCCCTCGTCAAAAGCGTCACAAGCACGAGCACATCCCAACGCTCTCGGCCTCATCGAGTGAGGCTGTATGTTTCTCTCTCTCTCTCTCTCTCCAACGCTTTTGCCCCCCAATTCGACAAAAGAGAGGGAGAGATAGAGAAAAAAAAGAAGGCTTCTTTGCCTTTTTCCTTTGTTGCTTCTTGCTCTGTTATTCTGCTTTGCAACAGGCTTCTTGCTCAGCTTTGCCCCCCCCCACCCCTCTTTCGCGCGCCTCGAGGGAGCGGCACCGGGAGCACCAGGCACAGGCGCGTGAACAGGAAAGCCGGGCGCGCCGGGCACGAGGAGTGCTGCGCATAGGTAGGCGCCGTAGGTCCCTGAGAAGAGTGCCCACTGCACCCAGAGGGGGACGTCTCGGACGTTTCCGACAAGTCCTCCTTTCCCATCTCCTTTCCCATCTCCGAGTTCCTCTCCAGGGGATCAGGGAGAGAGAGGAAGCGTCGAGAGCGTCTTTCTCATCATGTAGGGAGAGAAAGAGCGAGAAGTCTCTCTCGTCAGTCCAGAAAAGATAGGGAGAGAGAGAGGGAGAGACAGAGCTGTCTTTTTGTCGCCGTCCTGTGAGCCAGTGCTCAAACTCTCCATGAGGGCAATCTCGGCAATGGCCAACATCTCGAAGGCCTCGAAGGCGAAGGCTATGCAAAGGACGACTCAGGACGACGGGAAAAAATCCGGATGTCCGAGGTCCAAAATCACAGAAACTCTGCAGAGAAGCCACAATGTCAAGCATAGCGTACCTCCGTGCTCGGTACTAGGCAAAAAATGCAACAATGTCCATATCCCACCGTAACTGCCGCAACTGCGGCAATTGCGGCAAGTGAGGCAAGTGTGACAACCCTCGCAATGCCTCGTCTGTCCACTGCCAAAAGCACAAGTTGCACCGAAAACGCACAGCAAATCAAAGGTGGCAGAGCCCACCTGAGCCGACATGTCCCCGTCAACCGAATTGGGCTTGAATTGGGAGAAAAGCCTCCCCCCCTTCGAGATAAGCAATGTGGCGCATGTGCGCATGTGGCGCGCGTGCTGTCAGCTCCCGACCGCTGCAGCAAGGCTGTCTACCTGCCGCTGTGCTCTGTGCCACGTATTGCCACGTCATGTCGCGGTCCAACTGGTCCTCCAGGGCCAGACTGGCCACGGAGCCTCGCAAGATCCACGACAAAACGTGTTAAGATGCTGAGATTCGTGGCTGAGAGCCCTACAAAGCAACACAGGAGCAGCGTCAGCCTCGAAATGTACATCGGGGGGCACGGACCACCATTCTCGGGCTCTCACTCTCGCGCCAGCTCCCTACGCTGACTCTTCTCCCTCTCCTGCGCCTCTCTGACAACATGTTGGGAGCCTAAAAGGAGACCCCCAAAAAAAACAACCAAGGAACCGCGGCCAGCACCGTCACGCGGGCCAACTCCGGGGAGAAACGCCTCCCCCCCTCCCTCCTCCCTCCCTCTCTCTCGCTCCCTGTCTCTCTCTCTGCTCTCTTTGCTTTGGAAACCCAGAACCCAGTGCCTCAGCGCTGCAACCTCCACGCACCTCAGACGGGGAAACGTTGAGGCAGTGAAAGATATGATATACCATGACACATGCACATCCACGAAAGCTGCGCTCTCTGTCTTTCATCCTTCCTCCCTCCCTTCCCTTCCCTTCCCTTTGCTTTCCTTCCCTTCCCTTCCCTTCCCTTCCCTTCCCTTCCCTTTCCTTTCCTTTCCTTTCCTTTCCTTCCTTCTTTTCTTTTCCTTTATTTCCTTTCCTTCCCTTTTCTTTTCTTTTCTTTCTTCCATTTTCTTCCTTTCCTTGCTCTCTTCCTTTCCTTGCTTTCTTTCGCATCATGCTCTCCAGAGTCTCTGCATCGCATGCTTATCAGCAATCGTGAGACACGCTGCCAAACGCGCTGATCGAGGCACATATCCATGCTCTCATGCTGCCTCATGCTATCTCATGCTCTCATGCTCCATGCACTGATTTCGTTGGGCAGCGGACAGCGGACAGGCAACCGAACTCGAACTCGAAAGTGCAAAGTCGCACGTGACCCTTCTCTGCAGGAGCGGAAGAGGACTCTTCCCGCAATTTGGTACACCATGTACACCACATCGAGTGGTTCGCTGTATTGCTCCAGTGCATTGCCTGCTCGCATTGGCTGGGTGTGGTCGCTGATTCGCTGATTGAACTTAAGTGCTTAAGTGGCTTCTCGGCACGCTGGCGGCGCCCGTTGGCTGCTCGATGGCCTCGGCTGCCCCAAAAGTGCTTTTGTCGAATTTTTCTGAGCACGAAGCCGTCGCCAAGCCTTTTTGCTGCAACACAGCGGTGATGTTTTCGCAAAATGAAAAAGAGGCGCCCAAGTTGCTCTTGGGAAGGCTGGAAGCACCCCAGCCAGACACAACCGACGAAAAGCCCGCCATCACAACCCACGAAAGAACCGTTGGGTGATGAAAGGACAGTTGAGGGGCGGCTGGCCTGAATGAGGGCCTTCCCACTTCCAAGGCGATCCACGGCAGAAGGAGTCAAGGAGCCCAGTAGCGCGAACTGAGGGGCCTGAACGCCAAAACCTTATCCGCCGACCCCAGCTGGAGCGGGGGCGGCGTCAGTGAAGACGCATTGTTGTCCGCTCCCCCCCCAGTGCCCTTCCCCCCGCCCCCACCAGCCCCTAACCTGGACGTCCATCGCTCACATGGTTCCGCCCGCACCACGGTCGCCATGCCCATGGCCCCATGGCTCATGGCCCCTATAGCTGACATGGCCCCCATGGTTCCATGACGCCCGCCGCCCATCCCGCCAAGGCTGAATGGTCCCACAAAAAGGGGCCCGTCCACCCGCTCTGTGCGCCCCCAATGGCCTTTATGGCCCCATGGCTCATGGCCCATGGCCCCACGCCTCGAGCCCGCGCCCTCCAGAGTTTATGACACCAACATTACCAGGCATGCCCTCCTCCATGACCCATGGCCCCCATGTCCTCATGCCCCATGGTCCCATGGCCCATTGCCCCATGCCCGCCCGCTCCTGGGTGGGGAGCCATGGGGTGGGCGGGGGGCGGAGCTGGGACCATTTCAATGGGGTTCAGGCATGGTCCTATGGTTTCCATGACCGCCAGGCCCCATGTCCTCATGGTCCCGGTGCCATTGCCCGCATTGCCCCATGCCCGCCCGCTCCACCCGCTCCGCCCGCTCCGCCCGCTCCGCCCGGCCCGCCATGCCGCATGGTCCCATAAGCTGACTTTTAACCGTCCGCTCCGACCCAGCGGTGTGGTCAGGGCACGAATTCCTCCGCGTTATTTTAGGTGGGGGTGGGGGGGGGGTGGGTGTGCAGCTTAAATAGGGTCTATTTGGAAGCTGGGACTCGTATTTACAAGAGGAAAGCAGGCCCCAAAACGTATACTTATTCACAAGAGCCATCTTCCAAATAGACAATATTTTAGGTCCTGTAGGGTTGCACAGATAGAATTTCATTCATTAAATTCCTTAATTTCCACTTTCTCGCTGGAATGTAATGACTTTAATGAATGTAATTCTGGGATGAGAAATTAAATTCAATTAATTCAATAAATAAAAGCAATTCAAGTAATTCAATTAATTCATTTATTTCCAAAGGGGGGTTGCAATTAATTGAATTAATTGAATTCATTGAATTAATTGAATTAAGTGAATTAAGTGAATTAATTGAATTAAGTGAAGTATTTCAGTTAACTCAATTAATTCAAGTAATTCATGTATTTCCAAATGGGGGGGATTCCCCAGCCCCCACCCCCCCCCTTGGAAATAAATGAATTACGTGAAATAATTCAATAAATTCAATTATTTCAATTTTTCAATTAATTCAATTAATTCAATTAATTCAAGTAATTCAAGTAATTCAATTACTTCAATTAATTCAATTAATTCAAGTAATTCAAGTAATTCAATTAATTCAATTAATTCAATTAATTCAATTAATTCAATTAATTCAATTAATTCAATTAATTCAATTAATTCAATTAATTCAATTAATTCAATTAATTCAATTAATTCAATTAATTCAATGAATTCAATTAATTCAATTAATTCAATTAATTCAATTAATTCAATTAATTCAATTAATTCAATTTTCACTTGATTGAATTAATTGAATTAATTGATGTATTTCCAAAGGGGGGGGGGCATTTATTTCCAAAGCGGGGAGTGGCAATTAATTGAATTAATTGAATTCATTGAATTAATTGAATTAATTGAATTACTTGAATTAATTGAATTACTTGAATGAATTGAATTAATTGAATTAATTGAATTAATTGAATTAGTTGAATTAATTGAATTAATTGAATTAATTGAATTAATTGAATTAATTCAATTAATTGAATTACTGGAATTAATTGTTTTAATTGTATTAATTGAATTAATTGAATTACTTGAATTACTTGAATCAATTGAATTAATTGACTTAATTGAATTAATTGAATTATAGTTGAATTAACTGAATTAATTGAATTAATTGAATTACTTGAATTAATTGAATTAATTGAATTCATTGGATTCGTTGGATTAATTGAATTAATTCAACTAATTCAATTAATTCAATTATTTCAGTTAATTCAATTAATTCAATTAATTGATTCAATTAATTCATTTATTTCCAAAGGGGGTGGTATTTATTTCCAAAGGGGAGGGTTGCAATTAATTGAATTAATTGAATTAATTGAATTAATTGAATTAATTGAATTAATTGAATTAATTGAATTAATTGAAATAATTGAATTAATTGAATTAAATTGAATTAATTGAATTAATTGAATTAATTGAATTAATTGAATTAATTGAATTAATTGAATTAATTGAATTAATTGAATTAATTAATTGAATTAATTGAATTAATTGAATTAATTGAATTAATCATGAATTAATTGAATTTATTGAATTAATGGAATTATTGATTCAATTGAATTAATTGAATTAATGAATTAATTAATTAATTGAATTGAAATAAGTGAATTAGTTGCATAAATATCAATTATTTCAATTAATTCAATTAATTCATTTCTTTCCAAATGGGGGGGTGGGGGCTGGGGAATTCTCCTCCCATCATCTCCCATCATCTCCCATCATCTCCCATCATCTCCCATCATCTCCCATCATCTCCATCATCTACCATCATCTTCATCATCTCCCGTCATCTCCAGCATCCCCTACTATTCCTCATCCTCTCTCATCATGTCTCATCACCCCTCATCTCCGAGTATCATCTTCATCATCTTCATCATCTTCATCATCTTCATCATCTTCATCATCTTCATCATCTTCATCATCTTCTTCATCTTCTTCATCTCCATCATCTCCCATCATCTTCAGTCTGAAAAACTCAAATATTCACCACTGTGCAAGGGAATGTTATGCGGTGGAGAATCTTACATAACTACGAGCCCGGGCCTCCCCCCTATACTAAATTACGAGCCCGGGCCTCCCCCCAATACTAAATTACGAGCCCGGGCCTCCCATTCAAACTATTCAAACTAGTCAAACCAATCGCAAGCCCTGGCCCATAATATTTTGGGCTATTTTTTGCGCCTAATGCCGCCGACCCGCCCTGAAAATGGCATGTCTCCTTGCATGAGGCTCGGGGGGGGAGCTCCGGGAGGGTTCCGAGCGGGGTCCCAAACGCGCATGCGCGGAAGTGCCGAAAACATCGTAAATACCATGTGTTTTTGCGTTTTTGGAGGGCCGCCAAACGCCCTGGAGGGCTCATGATGCGTGACCCGGCGCGCATCATCGACCCTGCTTTTTGAACATGCGAAAAATGACCTTATACCTCAAGTTTTGGGGGGGTACCCCGCCCCCTACAGGGGCGAGCATCATGAGCATCAGCGACCCGCCCCCGGGGCCACGGGAGGGCCCGGGCGCCTCAACAAAGCCAGAAAACACCGTAAATACCATGTTTTTCGCGTGTTTCGACACACACCTCCTTTCGGGGGCACTGCCGCGCCTCCACGGTGAGCATCATTGACACCCGAGGCTTCGGGGGGGTCAGCCGACGCCCGCGATACGCACCCACACGTGAGCAACCATGAGCCCTTCATTTCTCCGGGGCCCTCCGGAGCCTCGGCTGATGCTCATGAGGGCCTCGCTGATGCTCATGATGCTCGCTTGGGGGTGGGTCCGGGCCGAAAACGTGGTAAATACCGTGTTTTTTGCGTGTTGCGCGAAAAACTGTTCAAAAACACCTCGTTATGTGGCTGCCGTGTATGCACGCAGCGCCAACCGCGCCCACGTCGCGTGGGTTGGCGCTGCTCCTTGCAAGGACGGCTCCCGGAAGCCCTGGAAGAGTGGGGGGCGAAAAAAAGGCATCCAAAAAAGGGTCTAGCCACCTGTTCGCATTCAGCCCCAAGGCGCTGATGCTCATGATGCTCGCGTGGGTGGGGGGGAAGGGGGGGCCAATGGGGGGTGCAGGAGGGGGGGGGGGGGGGGGGGGGGGGCACCCCCAAGCCGCTGATGCCACTGATGCTGTTGCGCGCGCGCGCGCGCGCGCGCGCGCGCGCGCGCACGCACGCACGCAAGCACGCATGCACGCGCGCGCACGCGCGCGCACGCAGAGGATTATATGTAGGGTTTCGGCTGTCGCTTCCTGTTCTTTCTTCTCTTCTGCTTCCTGTTCATTTGATTTCTTACTTGTATTCTTCTTTGTTTTTCTTCTTGTTCTTCCTCTTCTTTCTCTTCTTCTTCTTCTTCTTATTTTTCTTCCTTTTGTTATTATTCTTTCTTTTCTTTTATTCTTCTTCTTTTTATTCTTCGTTCTTTTATTATTCTTCTGCTTCTTCTTCTTCTTCTTCTTCTATATTTTCTTCTTCTTTTCATTCTTCTTTATCTTATTCTTCTTATGTTTATTCTTCTTCTTTTTTTCATATTCTTATTTCTCTTATTCTTTTTTTTCTTCCTTTACCCTTTCTTCTTGTTATTAGTATTTATTTTCTTTTCGGTTTCTTCTTTTTCTTCTTCTTTATGTCTTCTTTTTCTTCCTTTATTTCTCGTTATTATTCTTTCTCTTCTTTTCTTCTTCTATTTATTATTTTTTCTTTTCTTCTACTTCTGTTTCTACTTCTGTTTCTTCTTCTTTCTCTTATTCTTCTTATTCTTCCTTTTCTTCTTGCTTCTTTTCTTCTTCTTTGTCTTCTTCTTCTTCTTCCTTTTCTTCTTGCTTCTTTTCTTCTTCTTTGTCTTCTTATTCTTCTTCTTCTTCTTATTCTTCTTCTTCTTCTTCTTCTTCTTCTTCTTCTTCTTCTTCTTCTTCTTCTTCTTCTTCTTCTTCTTCTTCTTCTTCTTCTTCTTCTTCTTCTTCTTCTTCTTCTTCTTCTTCTTCTTCTTCTTCTTCTTTCTCTTCTTCTTCTTCTTCTTCTTCTTCTTCTTCTTCTTCTTCTTCTTCTTCTTCTTCTTCTTCTTCTTCTTCTTCTTCTTCTTCTTCTTCTTTCTCTATTTTTTCCAGTCCCTAAACCCAAACCCGAGTTTTAGTTTTCGGACGGCCAGGCCGGCCCGTGCCGCAAGGCCTGTAGATAATCTCCTTATAGCCTTATAGTCTACTTATAGTGTCCAGCCCTATGGAAGTTCGCCCGCTGAGGCACAGTCGAGATCGAACCAACGATGCGCAAAGGTTCTGTCGAGTTGCGGGATTTCGGCTTCGGGGCCAGGGGCGGTGGCGAACGCACTTGCAGAGATGCTGCCATATCACGTTTACTCCTTCCCCTTCAATGCCCTCAAATTCTGCAAGGCGGCGCCTATGGTGGGCAACAGGGCATTAGTTCTCTTGTACTGTAGCTGCAGTATGCAGTTTTTTTGCAAACACGCCAAGGGTGTGGACATCCAAGTTGCTGTTCTATGCTTGGGACTTTCACGCGGAAGATCGAGGCATCAAGCTTCTTAGGCTTCTTGGTGGCGCATGCCTTTTAGCTTCTTGCACTTGCAACACGATGTGCGCTGGTTACTAGTAGCAGATTACTGTGCCAGGGAGCTAAGTAGATGCACTGAATTTAGGCTGCGTTACCGACGTTTGCCCGGGGAACTGTTGCTTCTATTCCATTTTTGTTTCGGGGGGGGGGGGGGGGGGTTGGTTACGTGCTTGCTTTAACCGCACAGCTCTGCGGTCAGCAGGCGACTGCGCCGAAAACGTACGAGGAGCCACGCACGCTGTTCTAGCAGAGCTGGAAACTGCAGCCCTCGCCGCGTCATCTCCACCCACAAAGCATGTCCAAGTGAGCTCCGGCCCTAGCTGGCACTCATCTAGACATGCCAATAGACATGCCAAAAGTGTAGTCTAAATACTGGTAGAAATGCCTATCGTGTAGTCTAGGATGCACGAAACGCATCTGGAAGCGTCTCTGGGGGGCGTCTCGCCTGCGAGATGCAAAACGATGACCGGAGCCAGCGAGAAAGCCATGCAGAGCACACGGCACAATTCTACTATTCTTACCTGGCTTGAACCTGCACAGTTGAGGGCGTAAGCTACTTCAGTGGTTGCGAACATTCTCCCAAACATGGCGTTTGACCTCAACATTTCGGGCTGTAGATCGTTTGCAGCCACGAAGATGCACAAAGCCAGAAGTCCGCGCGGGCAATGCCTCGAAGCATTCGTGCTTCCAAACGAATATAACTTCAGAGCTCCGAGTTTTGAATTTGCTCCCATGTCGACATCACCAATACAACCAACACATGTTCTCCGTCTACTTTCTCAAACAGAGCACGTCTTCTGCCCTATCCGCGCCTGCCAGTGTTTTCCTATACTTCTCATACAACTACTTCGCTCGCCCACAAATCTGCAGGCAAACGTGGGTAAACGCGTCCTTTTTTACGTCCCGTAGCTGGACTTGAGCCTTTTGCGGAACAGCTCAACCCCAAGTGTTGCCGAGCTCGAAGAACATGGGAAGGCTCGGCTCCCCCAACTTTCGCACTTCCGGGCGTTGGGCGGAAATCAATTGGGGGTTGCCCACGATGCACTTCCTGGGGGGCTGGTTCAATCTCCCTCCCTCCCTGCCGCCCTCCCTCCCTTCCTTCCTGCCTCTCTCTTCTCTCTCTTTACTGAATCTCGTTACAACGTGGGTCCCCGGCTGGCGGCCCATCTTGAGCCGTGCCTACATGCACTTATGAGACATATGAGTACATGAATCATGAGAGAAAGACACACGTGGCAGGACGTGGCAGAGCACTGAGCGCACAGCGACAAGGCAGAAGCAGCCCAGCACGAGAACCACCCAGGCCTCACAAGAAAACAGACACAAGGAAGAACTCTCTTCCTCTCTCTCTCTCTCTCTCGCTCTCTCGCTCTATTTCTGAGACGTTAACAACATGAGACTATGAACGACTCTTGAACGGCAACTGCTCAAAAAAGGAGAGATGAAGCTAAGTCCGTGAACCTGGGAACCGCACCAAGAAGCCATATGTATCCAGGTCGGAACTGCAGCCCTGCAGAGAGGGAGAGAAGGAGAGAAAGAAAGACAAATAGAGATTAAAATACGCGGAGAGAACAAAAGGCGGAAATGTTGAGAAACAGCAGGCATATTCTCCCTGCAGTAGTGACGCTGGCCTCACCCAAGAGCACCGAAAGCAGGCTGAGCTGGATGCCATGGCCCATATAGAGTAGGCGCACGCTCTCCCTATGCCTCTCTCTCTCTGTCTCTCTCTCCCTCTCTCCCACTCTCTCTATCTCTCTATCTCTCTCTCTCTCTCTCACGGCGCAGACCCAGAAGAGCTACTCTTTAAGTCACAAAGAAAGATGCGAGAGAAAGAGCACGTTTTTCTTCCTCTAAGAGAGAGAGAGGGAGAGAGAGAGAGAGAGTGGGAGCGAATAGAATCAAAAGGAGGCACAATGCTTAGTGGGCATCCGGGCTCTCCCCCAGGGCTCTCCCCACTCCGCTCTGAGAGCTGACCGTGTTTTGTAGTTGGGAGTTGAGGGGGCTCTTTCTCTCTTTCTCAACACGTTCCATACCGGAGCCTAGATGTGGGGTGCTCTCTCAACCCTTCTAGGGCCACAGAACGGCGGAGCCGCGCAGAGCCGCTCTGAGCCGCAGAGAGCACGGTGTGCCACGACAGCCACGAACCCTCATGCAGACACGTAGATGCAGACACGTAGTACCTCATCTCTCGTCTCTCTCTCTCTCTCTCTCTCTCTCTCTCTTTCTCTCTCTCAAACTCTCGAACTCACTCACTCTCTCTCTCTCTCTCTTTCAAACCCCCTCTCTCAAATCTACACCTCTCCATCATCTCTCCGACATTTCTCTGTCATCTCCCCCTCATCTTTTTCTCATCTCTCTCACATCTCTCTCTCTCACCTCTCGCTGATCTCTCACCCCCGAAAGGCGAAACCCGGAGTTGGGGTACTCAGCGCTCACCCCCACCCCCCGATAAGCAAACCTGGAACCAGGAACACGACTTTGTAGGCGTTTTGGTATGCACCACTCGCCCTCCCAATACGCAACACCCGGCAGTCAGGGACACTTTGTAGGTGCGCCACCGAGAAGCTTGAAGCAACACCAAGCCAAGGAGGATGGTGCACCCCCACGTGCCTCCTCTTCGTGACGTTTACTTTTGAACCCGAGCAACGAGGGTCAAAAAAAAACGTGACAACATGTAGCCAAACATGTAGCAAAACATGTAGCAAAACATTAGGAGAGCACTTTTGAAGCCATGACAGAAAAACATGTGCCCCTCATGAAAAACCCTGTTCTGTTTTGGCTTCCGCAACAGCTCGATGCTCGCGCCGCCGGCCCGAGACAAAAGATGAATCCTGATCGTGCGTTCCTTTCTTGGTGTCTTCCCCTTTTCTCGTGTCTTCTTCTCTTCTTCTCTCAATCTTAGTGCAATCGGCTGCAGGCCCTGCAGACCCATTTGCTTCCGCGGTGCTTTTGCTGCACACTTCTTGCTTCTCGCGTGGTCAATGGAAATTCCAGCCTCTTGCCTCAGCGGCGCAAAAAGTCGGAGAGGGTTTCGCGCAAATCTTGAGGTGAACTGGGGTCCCTGGAGTCAACGACAATCGGTCCCCGGCTCTGTCGCGCTCCCATGCCATCGGTCTATTCGCAAGTGGCCGCAAGAGTATGCTGTGAGTGAGATTCGGCATCTCAAGATGCTTCCGAAGCCTCTTCACCTCCAAGCGTAGAAGGCACCAGCCGACGAGTAGCCACACCGGCGTCAGGACCTCGAAAGACACGAGAGAGTTCTGGCAAAGCACAGAACGAGAAGACTTGGAGGCTGCCTGACCCCGCGCAGAAAAAAATCACCGGCAATCAAGACTGCATTATTCGGGCCTGGCAAAATGCGTTCGCGCAGCCTCCAGTCGCGCATGTCAAATGTGCTGTCTGTGTTTCGTTACAACATGTACGCAGATCAAAACAAAATCCAAAAAAAATGACATCGATTGGTGTTTTGCGAATAACCACGATCCCACATGCAATTCGGAGCATGCCAAATGTGTTTTTCGTCGCCCGAAAAATTGCGTTTGGCAACGGCTTCCCGGCGTGTTGTAGCTAGTCTGTGTTTGCCCTCGTTCATGAACTCGTCGATTCTCACATGTCTTTTTCCCTGCATAAGAAGGGAGAGCTATAAGGGCCCAACCACATCTAGCAACATTTTCGACGTTCTGCAAGAATTCCGAGAGGGGCCCAGAATCGAAAGGAACAGGCCTACAGAATGCATCTTTCAAGGCCGGCTGAATGCGTTCGCGTCGCTGCTTCTTTGCAAAAACACAATAGACCTGAACCCGTGCGAAGACACAGAGGCCCCGGACACAGGAACCAAAGTGCAACTGCATTCTTCGCCCGTGCGTAAATGCATTCAGCGCTTTTCCTTGTTGAAAAATGCAGAAGGAAAGAACATCATTGCAAACGTGAAAGCAAGACCAAAGCAAGACCAAACGCAATCCTCAGGCCTCGAAAATTGCATATGCGCAGCCTCTGGTCGCCCATGTTTACTGGGCTGTCTGTGTTTCGTTACAGCGTGCAAACAGCAAACAGATCAAAGCCAAATCCAAGAATGGAAACAGATTGGTGCTTTGCGACCAACCACGATCCCACACGCACCTCGGCATGCCAAATGCAGTCTTCGTCTGCCGAAAGAGCATTTGGCAACGGTTTCCCGTTTGTCCTCGTTCATGATTCATGAACTCGTCGATTCTCTTTCTCTCTCTGAAAAAGAAGGAAGGGCTATAAGGGCCCTCACACGTCTGTCTAGCAGCACTTTCAAAGTCTCGCAAGAATCCCGAAAAGGAACATGCCGGAATGCATTTTCAAGGCCGGCTGAAGGCATTCGCGTAGCTGCTTCTTTGCAAAACCACGATAGACCTGAACCCGTGCGGAAAAGACAGAGACTTTTCCCGTATTGAGAAACTCACAAGGAAAGAACATCATTGCAAATGTGAAAGCAAGACCAAAGCAAGACCAAAGCAATCTTCAGGCCTCGAAAATTGCATTCGCGCAGCGTTCAGCTTTCTTCCAAAATGCAAAAGGAGAGAATACAGTATCAGCATACTATCAGCATCAAGTGTGGAAAGCAAGACCAAAGCAAGACCAAATGCATTCTTCAGGACGCGAAAATGCATGCGCACAACCGCCGGTCGCCCATGTCTATTGGGCTGTCTGTGCTTCGTTACCCTTACAGCGTGTAAGCAGATCAAAACCCATCTAGAAATGGAAATAGATTCTAGATTGGTGTTTCGCCACCAATACATTTCGGGGCATGCCAAATGAAAAAAGCATTTGGCAAGGGTTTCTCGTCGTGTTGTAGTCTGTGTTTGTCCTCGTGCGTGAGCTGTTCGATTTCTCTTTTCTTTGTTTGCATCAAAAGGAAAGCTATAAGAGCCCTAACACGTCTAGCAGCATTTACGACGTCTCGCAGCAATCCAAAGCTGCTCAGACTGACTAAACATGAATGCATTGTTCAGAGCCGGTTAAATGCATTCGCGCAACTGCCTCCTTGCCAAACCACAATGGACCTGAACTCGTGCGGAGCAGACAGAGGCCCGGACATAGGAAACCAAAACGCAAATGCATTCTTCGCCTGTTGCATTCGCACAGCGTCCGATCGTCCACGTCACTTGGGTTGCCTGTGTTTCGTTGCAGCGTGTCAACAGATCAACACCGAAAGTAGAAATAGATTAGTGTGGTTGGTCTGTTGCGACCAACCACGGTCCTACATGCCCCGAGGTGCGGCTGGTCGCAAAACACCAATCTATTTCTGTTTTGGGATTTGGTTTTGATCTGCATGCACGCTGTAACGAAACACAGGCAGCCCAATAGACATGGACGACCGGACGCTGCGCGAATGCTTTTTCGAGGTTTGAAAAATTCATTTGGTCTTGCTTTGGTCTTGCTTTCCACATTTGCATTGACGTTCTTTCCTTGTGCGTTATTCAAAAAGAAAAACGCTGAATGCGTATACGCACGGGCGAAGCATGCATTTCCTATTTTGGATTGCTGTGCCCGGGGCCTCTGTTTTTCCCGCGCGGGTTCAGGTCTATCGCGGTTTTGCAAAGAAGCAGCTACGCGAATGCATTTTGCCGGCCTTGAAACATGCATTGCGCAAGGCTCACTTTCCGCCGTGCCTCTGACGGATTTCGAGTTGACAAGATTGCTGCAAAACTGCGACGGAAGTGCCGGATGGTAGAGAAACAAAAGCGTGCGAGAACAGGCGCAACACTGTCCCTGGGTTGGGCTGGGCGGGCGATGCTTCGCAGTCACCCCTCAACACGGGCGTCTTGTACCCTTGATACAGTTGACGCACATCTACATAGTCAAACTGCACATCCTCAGCATGATGTTGATTTGCCAACCGTTCTATGCACAATACACCGTCATTGTGCAAGGCTCACTTTACGCCGTGCCTCTGACGGATTTCGAGTTGACAAGATTGCTGTAAAACTGCGATGGAACTGCCGGATGGTAGAGAAACAAAAGCGTGCGAGAACAGGCGCAACACTGTCCCCCATCCCTGACACTGGCGGCAGTGGCTAAGCCCTGTGGCCGAACAAAAGAACAGCGCACACTCATCTGACCCTGGCAGGAAGTAGTGCCCGAGCAGCGTCACGCTTCGTTGGCCGAAGACTTCCGACAGAGAAAGTAAGTGCACAGCATCTCACTGTGCGCTCGAGACACATTTCGCAGTGAGGAACCCACTCCGAGCAATCAATCAAGTGATCCGGAAGACTTGGATGGATGAGGGCACTTCTACCTTCAACGTGCATGTCATTTGAGCCCGCGCGCGCCTTTGAAAGCACGCCTGCCAGTTTGCACGTCCAGCCCAGAATGGGCGGTGACCAGCAAGCGAACATGGAAAACAAATTCGTAGGGCCTAGATGCGTGCCTTGGCTCTGCGTCTAACCCCTCGCGAAGGGTCATCATTGGGATTCTCAGCAGAAGTCACGAGTATGAGCTGCACTGTCAAGTCAGCGGCCATCTCCAAGGAAGCTGCCCGTCGCAGCAAGCAGTTCAGGATGGTGGACGATCTGCCTTTGGACGCAGCACCAAGCCACACTGCTGAGTCCAGAATGATGACGACTTTGGAAGCATGTCGTGAACGGGAACGAAGGCTCCAGCGCAGCAGCAACACAAAAGCTTCGGCCTCTAGCAGATTTATGTGTGACCTGTGGCTTTCTGACAGAAAAAACATGCACGAAGTCTTCCCGCTTCAGTCCCAAACAATGCGCCTGCCCAAGACGCTTTGGAAGCTGGCTCAGCGGAGTTCCCTCCAAGAAGACGTAGTCACCCTGCTTCTCTGCAAGACGCCTCAGACGCCGCAATTGATCAGCCGGCATCTTGGCGACAGAGGCTCCAAGCCCAAAAACTGTGGAGGCATCAGAAGCTGCTATGAGGTCCAGGGTAGGCTTTCGAAGGTCAGTTAGCCAGAAAATTCCCAGGAGCGTCCCCAGCAACAGCTCCTCTATCACTTCCCCTGGTACAGGTTGCTGGTGAGAGTCAGCGTGCATTGTGAACTTGTAGACTTGCTGGTACGCGGCCAATTGCTGTCTTCGCAGCAAGTCATACCACCGGAGGCAGCCCAACAGCTCGAGAACCTGCTCCGGCGATGCCTCCTTGCGAGCAGCAAGCTCTGTTGCGCACACGATCAAGGCTAAACAGCATTCCGGAGGAACGGCCCACTGCACGCCGTTCTCCAAATTGACCCCTACGCACGTGGCATTGAGGCAGTCTGTGACATCCTTGGCGGCGTTCTTGAGCACACCGTGGGAGACAATAGCTTCGTCCAAGCGTTCAGCGGCTGCAGCTGTGACACCCGGACCGGCGTTGCTAAAGATCATGACGTCGTCGGTGGCTGCAGCAAAGACCATGCTCAAGTCCTGAGGCGTCGGCAAGTCCGCTGCTAGAATGCAGTCGCTGCTTAAACCGGCGTCAGCGCACACGTTCAAGAGCTTCTCTTGGGTAACGTAGCTTGACCATGAGCCACATCTGCGACACTGGATACAGCCAACGTGCCGCTGCATCTGCTTGCGGCTCCAAGCAGCGCTCTATCTCCGCATAACTCACGCCTGCCTCACGCACAAGCTCGCGAGCGGTCACCGGAGGGCGAGCCATCCACGGTCGCAACTGAAGAGGCAGTCTCAGCTGGTCAAACCAACACTTGGCATCACACTCGGATTGGGTTCTCGTCCTTGGCTTCCAAGTGCACCAAGGCACAGGGCGACGCCAAGTGCCTTGGTGGCGGAGGTTTCAGCGCAGCTTGAGACACCCTTCACCCATGCCACACCTCGCGTTGCTTGCCAGAATCCTTCTTGCCCACTGCCAGAATGGTGCCGCCGCCAGAGATCTGGTCGCTCAACCCCAGCTTACCACAGTGCAGCTGGTTGCGAACATGCTGTACGTACTCAACCCGACTGCCTGTAGAGAAAGCTGGAAACCGGTCTAGACCATCAGGAGGTGATGGAAACATGGACGCAGCAGTCTCAACCACCTCTCGGATGTTGTCCGCAAGGCTCAGCGAGGGATCACAGCGACCTGCGCTCTCGAGGTTGTCCACCATGTCCGCCTTCAAGTCAATGCAGCCAGGGCCATTCGGGCTACTGACTCCCGCAACCCAATCTGGCAAAAACTGCTCCCAACGGCCAGCTTGAGCAGAGTCCATGCGAGCCAGGAAATCCAGCGACCTGGACACAATCCGTTTGTGAACATCGGTCTGCGCTGACGCAGCAGAATGTTCCATCGCCACTGCTTGAAGCCATGCGGTTGCAACAAATTTCCATCGATCATAGGGAACGGGAAAATGTCTCTTTCCGCCCCGATCTTGAAGCACTGATTTGGCGGAAGTGAATGCAATATTTAGCGAAAGGACCTTGCGCAGTCAAACATGCGGCGTTGAAACGATGAAGCAACCAGACTTTGTCCGACGGCACTGCAGCATACTGGTCCGACCTGGGGTTTGGCCAGCTGGACCTGCGCAACCTGTTTCTCCTTGCACTTGCAGGCGAGCGCCTACTGGCGTCGCACATGGCCACGCCACTACCCCCGCCACGAAGGGGAAATCGATGCTTAGCAGTCACCCCTCAACACGGGCATCTTGTACCCTTGATGGCCACCAGTTGATGCACATCTACATAGTCAAACTGCACATCCTCAGCATGATGTTGATTTGCCTACCGTTCTATGCACAATACACCGTCATATAGGCATGTGCCATTTGATTCTGGGCCCCTTTCGGAATTCTAGCAAAACGTCGAAAACGCTGCTAGACGCGTTGGGGCTCCTAAAGCTGTTCTGATACAAACACAAAACTTATGCAACTTGTGTTCATGGAACGTTCCCACTTGTCCTACAGACAAGGAACTTACACGGCGCCCTGTACTACCCAGCACGCAAACTGGCATCTTCTTTTGGAAACACCGTCCTGCATGTTGGCAATATTTCATCGAAAGCCCTGCAAGGAGTCTCGGGGGCATCTGAGAGGCGGCACTGACCAATATTGACAGAGTCAAACGCTCCAAAGCATCTCAGCCACGGGCCCGAGTTTGCCAACGTAAAAAACGTTTTGGGAGCAAAGCCTACTCAGCCTTTGAGAGCAAATCCTAGGACCTCCCGAAGTGTGCGAAGGAAGTTTCCTTGGGGTGATTGTTTTTGTGTCTTGTGTTTTTTGGTGTCTTTTTTGTCGATTGTTCATACCACCGTCTGGTTCGATTTTCTTGCTTTTCCCTAGAGAAAAAGCCCTACATTCGTTACATTTTGGACGAATTGCATGTCATTTCCCTGAGGTTTTCGTTGGTATTTCCTAGCAAAAACCTATTGTCCTTACATTTTGGAAGGATTTCCTGTCATTTCTCTTAGGTTTTCGTTGGCTCTTCATAAAGAAAACCCTATTTTCCTTACATTTTGGACGGATTTCCTGTCATCTCCCTTAGATTTTCGTTGGTGGAAATGGCTACCTTTCTCTCTATATTGTCATAGGATTCATACAAATTTCACAGGATTTCTTACTCATGAGTTGTTCTTGGTTTGTTTTCTTGGTTTTTCGTGGGAAAAGGCTATATTCCGTCCATGTTTTCATAGGATTCTTCTCAGTGTTTTTTTGGTTTGTTTTCTTGGTTTTCCCAGGAAACACAGGTCCCCATTTGCAACACAATGCTCACATGATGGGTTTCAACAAGTTTCTTAGGCTTTGAAGCACGCTTTGCACGGCTTAAAAGAAGCGGGGGTTTTGGGGGGGGGGAGCCCGCCCCCCTCCCCCATTTGCAACCACAATGATCACACGATGGGCTTCAATAAGATTCATAGGAATTGAAGCACGCTTTGCACGGCTTTAAAAAAGCGGGGGGGTTGGGGGGGGCGCAGCTCCCCCCATTTGCAACACAATGCTCACATGATGGGTTTCAACAAGATTCACACGCATTGAAGCACGCTTTGCACAGCTCCACAATTCGAACCGCAGTCTCTTGTTGCTGACTGGCTCTCCTTTTTTCCTTCTTTCTTTGTTCCTGCCTTCCCTTGCTTCCTTTCTTCCTTCATTCCTTGCCTCCTTCCTTTCTTCTTTCCTTTCTTCTTTCCTTTCTTCTTTCCTTTCTTCTTTCCTTCTTCTTTCCTTCTTCTTTCCTTTCTTCTTTCCTTTCTCTCTTCCTTGCTTCCTTTCTTCCTTCCTTCCTTCTTTCCTTCCCTCCTTCCTTCATTCATTCCTTCTTTCCTTCTCTTCTTTTCCTAGTCAAAACCTACGGAAAGTATGGATTTTCATACGAAAAACAAGGAGATGAACCATATGCTATTAACATATAAAGGGGATGTTGGCTTTCCTAGGAAAAAAACCAAGAAAAGCGAACCCCAAAAAAAAGAACAAAAACATACCCTCCATTTCCTTGTGTCCAACTGACACCACAAGACACCAATGGGGGGCACCAGTGGCACCAACTGAAAATGCGGAGGCATCGAGTCGGCAGCACGCTCGGGGCACGAGATTTTTCACATCGCGCATTGAAAACTTGAAAACTCGAAAACTTGAAAGCCGTCAAACCATGTCAAACACATCTTCGATTCTGTTCGATTCGGCTTAGGATTGGGCCAACACCCACACCGCAAGTGTTGCTTTCGGCGACAACCTCGTGCAGCACATATGGATTGAACATGGGAATTTCAAACCATGCAAATCAAAATTCACGTGCCTCGCATACTTGGCAATAAAGTTGGTAGGTGCTTGCACCGTTCCATTGACCTCTCGGCTAACACACCTCTCACCTCTCGCCTCTTGCGGCTTATGCCAAGAAAGCGGGGCTGTGGGACACTGTGGGCTGTGCCTCGGTGGAAGGAGGAGCCGAGAGGAGCAGCGCGTCCTTCAGCGAGATCAGCGAGAGAGCAAGAGAACGAGCTGAAAAAATCAACACCAACCAAATTCGATCAAACAGTACAAAAAAAATGGCCAAGAGAGGAGAGTCCTTTCAGAGAGAGAGGGAGAGAGCGAGAGAGCGAGTTCTCAGCGCGTGCCTTCAGAGACATGTCCCTTGTCTGTTTATGAATGCATGCCGAAAAAGTGCCCGGCCTGGCTCGACGTCCAAGCTACTTTCGAGTCCGCCCCGGCCCTTCTTCGGGGCTTTTTTTGCCTTCGCTTTGACAATTTGACAGTCTCTGCGACAATTCTCACAAAAGTTTCTCTCTGGCTCTCTCTGTCTCTCTCTCTCTCTGGACTCCATCTCTGTGGGCAAGGACATCGGAGAGGAGAGACCAAAGAAGCTGAGACCACTGTAAAGGCTCCAGCAACTCATGATACATTGATTGCTCCCATTTAAGTCCTATCGGCAGCAAGGCTCTCTGCCTTTGCAGGCTTGCCAGCGTCTCCACCAGCCGTCGGGCATTGCGCGCCTGGGGAAGCATGGTGCCGGAACATGGTGTCGGAACATCTCGGAATATTGTGACAGATCCTGACAAATAGAACAAGGCGGGCGGCTCTTCTCTTTTTGGGATTTCTTTTGCAGATCATTTTGGCGCATCCCGCACCGATACCCTTTAGTGGCTAGCGTTACTTGCGCCATCACCGTACACGTTTCCACGTGCTCTCACGTAAGACGGAGAGCAACACACACATTCCGCACTCCAGCAGCAGGAGGAAGAAAACGATGGCAGAAATTGCTCAGGCATCTGTCATGTGCTTCCAAGACCCAGAAACAACATTCGCAAGCGACTCTTTTGCCACGTGCTCGGGTTCAGGTCTGGTCCTGGTGGAGCAGGCCGCAGGCCAGTATACATCCCCATCGCAAGCGGTACAACCGAGAATTGCGCCAAGGCAAAAAACTCAGAAGCAAAGAAACAGCGTCCCACAAAATCATCAAGAGGCATCCGGCAGTTCAAGACGGTGCGACCTCGCCATGGGAACATCGTCTCTCTGTAACACGTGTGGTCATTGCGGCTGGATCGGCAATGTTCGAGCCGCAGCAATTACCGGCACATCACGGCGAAATGCAGGGGAAGCAATCGCTTCCCACCGTTTTCAGGCTGGGAGGGTGTTGCTGCGGGCATGACCCCATCTAATGGTCTGTGTCGCTGTTGTCCCAATTTGCAGTACGCATCGGTGTAGATCGGGACTCGTGGGTGCACATGACAGCTGTCCAACTGACCGGCCAGTAGGTTCAGCCAAACATTGAGTCGCACCTCGTGGCTCCCACAAGTGCAACCGATACGGTGCTCGACTGCCGTGAGGCATTTGAGGCATTCACGGACCTCTGAGGGTGTGTACTGGTGTACATGGCAGCAGCCAAATGGTTCCAGGTTGTGGAGCAAACGTGCTAAACAAGCACGCTGCCAATGTTCGGACAAAACTAGGCAGGCTATTTGCACGAATAAAGACTGCATGCATGATTGGAAACCCGTTCACAGTTCCAGTGTCAAAAAACTCAGCTGCCTCCCTGCAAGAGATGGGCACCAAGGACGCTAGGCACGGCGGAGCACATGCAGCAGGGCAAAGCTGTACGAAGTGTCGAAATTTACTTCCTGCCATCTAATAAAGTTCCTTTTAACGACCCAAAGAACTCAAACTCCCAAAGTATTCATGTAACACACGTGCACCCGCACGCACTATATGTTCCAGGCGCCAAATGCTGCAGCTCCGGAACGGCTGCCTCGCAACTTTGGCGACAGGACAGCGGCACAAACATGCGCTTCCTCCACATAATCCTGAGAATACTTCTTGTGGAGAGAAGGCCTCTCGTTCCTCCCCTGTTCCTTTTTTACCCTCCTATCCACTCCTCCCGTAGCGGACGCCTGGAGCGCCGGAGTCGACGGAGTTCCCTGGCCTCTTGGAGACCAGCATGGAAAAACACCAACTTTAAAAAAGACATCTGCCAACATGACTCGTAAGAGATGCAACACTCTAACAACACATAGCATGATCGATGTATACATATATACACACACCCTACAGTGTATACATAAACGCAAAAAAAAAACAAAGAAAGGCTCCTGGCTCTTCATCCCCTAGCGTGAGGCGAAAAAGCAGCCAAAGCAAGAGAGAGACATCCGGGGTCTAGAAAAGGCGGAAAAGGGTGAAAAGGGGGGGATTCTTGGGCGCCCACCCCAGAAAAGGATTCTCCGAGAAAAGTCTGTGGATTGGAGAAGTTAACAAGGCCTCAGGTTTCAAACCTTTTCTGCAGAATTGAGAGCTTAATGCAAAAAAGAGACTCTCACTGCTCTCCTTTGCCCGTGCCACCACAAAAGATGGAGAGGAGAGAGATAGAGAGAGGAGAGGCCGAGGAGAACTTAAAGGGGGAGAAGCAAGAACAACACCCAATCACAACACCCCAACAACTCCCCAAAACTGCCCCACTCTCAGAGAGGGTGCGGGGAAGGGGGGGGGAAGGGGGTGGAAGGGAGGGGTGGAAGGGAGGGGTGGAAGGGAGGGGTGGAAGGGAGGGGAAGGAAATGGGGAAGGGAGCTGCGTCAAGACCTCTCGGGCCCCAACGGGACTGCAGCAAGCAGGACATATCGGAGGCCAGCCTTCCAAGGAGAGAAGCTGTGAATGAGTCTCTGGCCAGCGGAAGTTAAAGAAACAAGGAAGAGGAATGAGACATCTGACATCCCACATTTTGCCACTCAAGAGCTCTCCTTACGTACCTTTCTACGTCTGGGGGCGGGGCTTCTGGGGTCCGGAAGAAGCTCAAGCTATCTCTGGTGTTTTGGGGCGAAGCCTGAAGGAAGCCTCCTGAAGGCATCACTCAACGATTTTCAACACGTTGGGGCGAGCGATCAACTAGCTCTGCAAATCAGGAGAGAAGAAAAACAGACAAGGGGGAGACTTTTTTTATGTCCCGGGAACACTGTCGCCATCGTGGCCACTGCAAGGCACCGCCGCATCGGCACCGGGCCTGGCAAAGGAAATCGTGGGAGGCGGGGGAGGGGGGGGGGGGGAGAATGCGATCTTTGGGATCTCCGCGCTCTCCTCTCCCTTTTTCAATCTCCATTGTATTCGTCACTCTGCTCTGACATTTGCTGACACTGCTCGATTCATGGTCCTGCCTCGGACGAGGCCGTTTTCTCAATGGCTCAGAGCATGGTTGCTTGCAAATGGACTTGTTTAGCACATCGATGTCGCGAAGATGATGCTGATGGAAGCGTTCTGCAGTGCCCATGCCTGAAATATTGGGTTCGGTCGAGCTGACAAAGGCCCACACAAAGACACAAAGACGTGTCAAAGGACCATGTCGAAGAAGCGCAAGACAGCGCAAGACAGCCCTCTCACATCTTTTGAGCTTTGCACCAAGGCCGTACGCTATTGTTACGAGCCTTGGTTTTAGTGAAACATCCGGAGTGCCTGGGAATTAGGCTCACCGCTCGCCAGGGTTCGACTGCGCATAGATGCAAAGAATCCTTCGCGCTAAGCATCGTGCACGTTGGCAGCCCCACTAACTTAATTACCCCCAAACAACATGGCATGCAGCTCGCGTGTGAAGTTGTAGGACTGCACATGGTACATTGTATGGCGAGTTCTGGAGATTTGGCTTGTTTCCTCACGCGGCTTGTGCGCTCCGGAGCTCTGCGGACCCTGTTTATGGAATCAGACAAAATGATAAAAGCCCACGTGGACCCTATAGCCTATAACCTGACCACACCTGCAAACCCCTCAAGAGGGACTCTGCACCACAAACGACGCCGCAAGTTCCAAGTGTTTTGGGCAGTGCACCGTCGACCACAAACGGAATGTTCGCCGGTTGCTGCCCTGCGCCAAGCATCCCTGCGTTGTCTTGTGTGCTTGTGCTTGTGTGTGTGTGTGTGCGTGTGCGTGTGCGTGTGCGTGTGCGTGTGGGGGTGCGTGTGCGTGTGGGGCTGCGTGTGGGTGTGTGTGGGTGTGTGTGTGTGTGTGTGTGTGTGTGTGTGTGTGTGTGTGTGTGTGTGTGTGTGTGTGTGTGTGTGTGTGTGTGTGGGTGTGGGGGGGGGTGTGTGTGTGTGTGTGTGTGTGTGTGTGTGTGTGTGTGTGTGTGTGTGTGTGTGTGGTGTGTTGGTGTGTGTGTGTGTGTGTTTGTTTTGTGACCTGCAGTGCCTTTTGGTAATTCGCAAAGGTCTGTGAGGGATGTGTCTAGGAAGGGGAGGGGTCTGTGTGCGTGCGTGTGTTGGACACTTCGTCGCCGTCTTCGTCGCCGTGGTATGTTGATGGCTTCGAAGACATACTGGTCAGTGCTGCAACGCTGGTCTGTTCTTTCGGGGGTTAGCATCTTGCTTGAAGGTGCGGCCGTTGCAGCGGTGAGTGATGTTGTCTGCCGGCAGGGTGGCGCTTGTCCTTTTGGACATCTCTTTGCCACGGGCAGCCCGGGCAGTGTGCAGTTCTTTACCCGTGGCGATGGCGGAGGGTTGCTCCTGGGGATACTGGGGATGGTCAACAAGTGGAGACTGGCATGTCTTGACCGACGTGCTATCAACTCGGCTTGCCAAATGACGGCGGGAGAGTGGCCGTCGTGTTCGATGTCTCATGAAGGCTCGGAGGAACCCATGCGCATGCTCGCTCCCATTGAGGGGGACCAGCTGAGCGATTTTGGGAAACAGCATCATGCAAGGGGAAAGGCACCTGCAATACAATGGGATGCAGATCGGCATCGTGATTTCGGTGAAAGTAGTCACCAAGAATTGGATTGGAAAGAGCAACGCAGGTCTGTGAGCGATAAGGCCTGTCAAACAAACCTTGATCAGGCAGCGCAGTCACTGGCAGCGAAGTTCTTGCATTCACGTCCAAGGTCTTGCAGTGCGTGCAACAAGCAATTCAATTGTGTAGAGGCGTCAAGAAGTTAGACCTAAAGCTTCAGTCTTCAGCTGAGCGGGTGACCAGTGTGCAGTTGCCTGAATGTTGTGAATGTTTGATGAGGAGCAGTTCAGGTGCAGGGGGAGCCGGCGCCTAGTCAGAAGCAGGGAAGCGACAATCAGTGCTCGCCAAAAGAAATCTGCTTTGACGAGAATGAAATCGTCAAATCGTCGGAGGGCCCGGGAAATACCGGGTACATTACAAGTAAAGGGGACGGAGGGGGAGGGGAGCGGGGAGGGGGGGAGGTGGGGGAACCCCAAATGGTAAGGCCCGGAAGGGCCGGGCACATTGAATCATGAAGAATGGAGCCATGTCGGCAGCAACTGCGCTACTTTGCCTGGCATATTCAAGGTTCACGAGCCTTTGGTCTCAGATCGAGCTGCAGAGATAGGGAGCCAAGTACGCCACGCAACATCCAAGATCAAACAACTCTGGGTACTCTGGAATCCAAATCTTCGATCCTACTGAACGTACTGAAAAGTACCAAAATCGTATCGTGCTCGGATCCAAGGTACAAGCTTTCTTGCTAATTAGTCCCAGGGTCAATCTTGGACCTTGGGTCCCAAACTCCTGACTTCATCCGGTATTGTTACAGGTGATCCACATGGGCACAAAAGGTTGATAGCTGTGGTGTACCTCACTCTGTCGAGGTCGCCCAGGCCTCATGCACTCCAGGAATGTGTCTCGGCTCTCGGTCGTTTCTTCGACCAGGCAGAACCTTCCAGGCTGCACTCAATTCCAGAATTCTCACTGCAATAGCCCGCCATTTTTACACACAATCTTTCAATCCGCAAACCAAAACCGTTAAATACCTTGAAATCTATCAAAACAACTTCTAGCATTAGCAACCTAAACACAAAAAAAATAACATGTCTTCTAAAAGTTAACCAATTTTCCGGCAAAATCACAACTACCGACTACTCGCGCCCCTATGTCCTAGTTCTCATTCTTGCCACCGAATCCAAACGGCATTTTCTAGGTGCCCATCGGTTTTTCACTGATACATCTTCAGCCTTTATTGATTATACAAAAAAAACAAATACAGTATAACAAATAATGAACTTTCAATCAACTCAAACATTTCTCAACAGATACGAAGGCAGTTCCCACAACACTTTAACCATTTCCCCCGAAACATGCACGTGCTCCCACAAATAAAATAACGATGATACAATATTCTGGATCACATCATGGCTATTTACAGGTTGCAGTTTGTATTCTGTCTTTGTGAATACCTGCCACGATGATCATTTGGTCTTTCGTCTTCCTCTAATAACTCGCACATATGTTCTAGCAGCTTCCGTGTTGGTTCAGGTGTTGTATCTTGCTTCATTTCGTTTACATTCTTTTCCCTTCTCTCTACATTTTATACCAGCAGTGGTTTCAATATAAGGTCTCAAACTTTGTATCCTATATGCCTATATGTATATATATATATATATATCTGAATCAGAAATTTCAAATGAGTAATCATGAGTGATAGTATACCATCAATTGACTCTATAGCACCAAAAACACGCGAATGGTAGCAGTCTAAATTTGAAGTTGTCGAAAAACTTCAGTATAGGTCCATTATATGCGCAAAGTTGTCAAGGTGGTACAGGAATTTTGCTACAGAACCTCATAATACAATTTTCGGTATATATAAGTTGCTTTCAACATATGTCATTTCCTCGCCACGGCTTCGCTTGATGACAACTGGATTCCCGTAAAACGTTGTATATCTGACCACCTCAAGTTGATAAATAGGGGTACCCTTTTGGGGGTCGCTTTAAGGGAATTCTATTCCTATTTGTGCGGGTACCGCTATTCCTATCTTGGCAAATACCAAGTGGTCTCCAGTAACTTTTTTGGGGCCTGTTTTGCCCTTACACTCCTCGCTGGATCACTATGATCTCTCCCGAGCCTGAATAGCTTTCCATCGGCGTCGCTAAACACCTGCACAGGCGTTGCACCTGCATTGATGCTCCGCGGCACAGAAATGAGGCCGGCGCGATCATCAAGAGGCGCTCTCTGTCCTGGCCCGGAGGCATAAGGAGGAAACCATTGTGCAACTTTCTTTTCATAGACTGGTAGAAGCATCTGGCTGCTCTCCTCCCACTCCTCCGTCCTAGCCCCCAATTCTGCGCAAAAAAGCTGAAAAGGTTCAGTCAGCAGCTCCAATTTTCTCTTCAGATCCGCAGATCATGCAGATCAGACTAATCGGCCCCGCATGTTGTGTACGCAGCCATCAACCGGTCATGCAACACCCACACCAAAACGATCCGGCGACCACCTTTGAATGGATTAGAAGAAAGAGAATGACAGATGGAAACAGAAACGACCATCAGAATCGACAACAGGACTGGATGCGATGTACTGGAAGCAACGGTCCGTACAACCATATAACACCTTGTTTCCCGCTGTTCGCCCCTTTGTCCGAGCGGTCAACAGATTGCGAGCTGCTGAAAGTGACGGACCTTTCAACGAACGTGATCCAGCCAAAAAAGGATCAGCGAACAGCACGGTGCGTTACGGCACTCACTGCGTCATGGCACTCACTGCGTCCTCTGCTCCCAAAGCAGTGACTACTTCTGGTGGAAAGCAGCTCCTTCAGGGCACATAGGGCACGCAACGGACAAAAGAGATGAAAGAGAGGGTGCCCGAACTCCCCTGAGGTCGCCACGTGCCATCCTCAGCCATAGAGTAGATGTCCTCGAACAATCTGAGCGAGAAGACGAGTGCTTTGTGTTTCCGAGGGCTTTTGGGTGCGACACTGCGATTGTGTGTTCACAAATCAAGAAGAGCGCTCAAGGAAGTTAGTGAGGCCTCTGGCCTACAGCAAGGCTGCGGATCCGATTGGTAGTGCGACTTTCTTAAGGTCTACGCTTCTCACGTCTCACGGACAAAACCTGCAACATCGCTCGCGTCGTACCTGAAACCCGCAGGAACTGAGTCTTCAATGTTCAGCATTTCGTGCATCTTGCTAGGGCCACTAACAAAGATGTCATCAACATAAAGCATCGTTAACAAACACTCCATTGCGGAACTTTACAAACTAGGATTGGCAGTAAATTCTGCTCCGCTCAGCTCTTTGCGATGTGTTGCCTTCGACTGCGAAGCATCGTCATGGAGAGCGGCAGCTGGAAGGAGCCCACGCGCAACACGTCACACTCTGCACACGCTTTGAGATTGAAGAACATGGTTGTCGAAGCGGGTGCTGCCAGGCACCTGAGAACTGATAGGGCGCGAATGTCGTGCCCCACAACACGAAGAAGTGCAATTTGAACATCCGCTCGTCTAAGGTGTCCCGCCGAGGACACGGAACAAAACAAAGCCGAGGCAGTGTCGGGCTTGGGGTTTAGGCTCTTGCTTGTATGGCATTCTGCTAGGATTATTTGTACGGGGCGCGGTCAAGGGAAGTCACGGGAAGCTGCGCCCTGCGCATCTTTAAGAGCCCGGAAAAGACGAGAAACCAGAAATCGAGACACAGAGGACGCAAGAACAGACGTGACACAACATGACACAGCAAGGAAAGAGGAGCCACAGATCGCGCAGAACAAAAAAAGACTCCGAGGGCCAGCAAAGATACTGACACGACATGTCAACTCATGGAGACGAGCGGTGCTATGCAATACCTAAGCGATTACGCGCTTTCCCTAAAGGAAGCTATGCGTCTACTATGCGTCTAATGTTTCTGACCTGGTTCTATATTCTGGTCCTGGATGGCTGCTATGGGGCAGGTGACTTCCGTGACTCCCGGCTCCTGCCGAGAACACTCACTGTGAATTGTGGGGCAGGAGTGCTATCGACACCAAGCCTGCGGGTTCACCAAAATCAGATACTCCAGACTCTTATCCTTGGTGCTTGGGCAGACGACTCTGGGCAGTCTTTCCCAGTCTTTGGGCAACTTCGTGACATTCCATGACCTGTTCTCTCGGCCCAGGTTGCGAGCTATCCGATACTGCGTCTCGAATCGAGTCGCTGTGCCTTCTTTGAAGTACCTGCCGAGACAGCAAAGACTGCCAAGAGCCCCACGGCGACTCCTGTAGACATGTAGCAAAATTTGTGCAACACAAGTTGGAGCACACGCAAGGGCAACCTCGCACTGCCTCAGAGCTGGCAGACAAAGCTGCAGAGAACTCTCACTGAACCTTCGTTTCTGCGCTCCGAGAGAGTACACCTTGACACAGCGCCTCTTGAGCGCCTCTTGAGCACCTCTTGAACGCCTCTTGAACGCCTGTAAACGAGGACATCCCTGATCTCACATGGTGCCCGCGCTTTTTTGGCGAAGTTGTTCACCAAACCCTGCAAGCGGACCTGACAAGGGATACGCAACTTCTGAGACGCCTTGACTTGAAGCACCGGAGTGCTGTGAGATGCTGTGAGATGCTGTGAGATGCTGTGAGAGATTGTGAGAGATTGCGCCTTCTCGGCCTCTTTCTCTTCAGGCGTCAGGGAACGTGTGGACCTTTGGTTCATATCGTTTTGCCGTTCTGCCTAGCATCCTCGCCGTTGAACTGCCCCTGACTGCGGCCGTCACCGAGCCGATGGCACATCCTTGACAAGACGCAACGCCCCAAAAACTCCACGTATACTGGAGAACCAACTCTGCTTGTCCTTCGAGGTGGCCACCCTAGCAGTTGAGCTAGCACTGCAGAGCTGCCCAGCAATTCTCAAAACAGAATTTGCAGCCTTCTGTCGGTGGCCAGATAAGGCACGGTCTTCTCATCGGACGCAATCGGCAAATTGAACTGGGTCTCCAAGGGATCCTTGCAGCTCAGACGCGCTGGCACCGCAGGTGCACCGCAGGTGCACCGCAGCTCGCCGCAAAGCCGCGCAGATGCAGCAGTCTCACTTCTCACTGCGAGCTTTCATTCTCTCTGCTTGTCTCCTGAGAGTCCGTGCAGCAGCAGCCGCCTCAGAAACACGCAGAAGCTTTCCACAGGAGATGACATGAGACCGGTGTGAGAGTGGTCCACAAGGACAAGCTCCCACCACGCACATCCACGCACCAAAGAAGCACAAGAGAATCGGAGATTGGAGAGGGCGGCAGCGAGAGAGTGAGAGAGTGAGAGAGTCGAGGAGGGAGAGTCGAGGAGGGAGGGAGAGGGAGGGAGAGAGAGAGAGAAAGAGAGAGAAAGAGAGAGAAAGAGAGAGAAAGAGAGAGAAAGAGAGAGAAAGAGAGAGAGAGAGAAAGAGAGAGAGAGAAAGAGAGAGAGAAAGAGAGAGAGAAAGAGAGAGAGAAAGAGAGAGAAAGAGAGAGAAAGAGAGAGAGAGAGAAAGAGAGAGAAAGAGAGAGAAAGAGAGAGAAAGAGAGAGAAAGAGAGCGAGAGATAGAGATAGAGATAAAGAGAGAGAAAGAGAGCGAGAGAGAGAGAGAGAGGGGGGAGGGGGAGGGGTAGGGGAGAGACTCCACTGCTGTTCATCTTGCCGGCAAGGAGCTGAACATCACGGAGCACTGCTCCACTCCCGATCCGATGTTCGCCTCTTCTCCTCTTCGGACTTTCGCCTACAGGTAGAGCGAAACGACCCAAAACGCTCTTTTAAGGACCCCTTTTGATGACTTACGGCGGCGTCGAGCAAATCTGCATCTCAGGAACTGAACTGGAGAGGACACGTCTTCTAGACCTGTAGTGAACAAGTTGTCATGACGTCATGCTACGTCTGTGTGGGAACCTCCTGGAAACCGATGGGCGTCGAACTGATGGCGGTCGAAGGGCAGTTGCGGCAAGTCAGCAGCAACACCGCTGCGGCTGCGCTGCTTGAGAAATCTCGAGATTCTCAACAACGCTCAACGATGCGCATGTCTCCAAACCCAGAATGAGTGTGCAGTGAGTGCAGTGAGTGCAGTGAGTGCAGTGAGTGCAGTGAGTGCAGTGAGTGCAGTGAGTGCAGTGAGTGCAGTGGGTGCAGTGAAGCGAGAAGCCGAAACGACAAGGAAAATTTCCGCGCCCTTTCTCACAACTCGGGCATGGCCAGTTTTAAGCCTGCTCTCCAGAACTTGTTCCGAGCTTCGCGAGTCCGCAATTTGGGAACAGAAGCTCAGAATGAAGACTTTCTAAAAGTTAGAGAACTCAGGAGAGCTAAGCTCAGAGAGAAGACACGGACATTCTCCTACTGTTCTTGGTCCTCCCCGTTCGAGAGAGAGGGAGGGAGAGAGAGAGAGAGAGAGAGAGAGAGAGAAAAAAAAAAGGCAGGAGGGAGGAGAGTTTGAGAGAGTTCGAGAGAGTCTTGTTTCTTCATTGAGTCTGCTTTGCTTCTGGGATTCGGCTCTTTTACAAGAAACCCTCGGCAACTTCTTGGAGCCGCCGCTCCAGGCCGCGTGGGAGAGCCTCACAGCAGACAGACTACAAGGGAAAGCACAAACATGCAAAACAAAAAACAGAACACGTCTAGCTTGCAACCCAAACTTCTCTTTCTCAAAGGCTGAAGAGAGAGCCGCTCTGGGCCCGCTGCCCGGTGCCCCGCAGCATCGCCTCCTCAAATCTCCGAGTGGCACACTCTCAGAAAAAGAGAAAGAGCCAGAAATGAGTTCGGAAAGAAAAACAGAGAGGGAGTGAGTGGGAGAGAGGGGAGAGAGGGGGAGAGAGGGAGAGAGGGAGAGAGCGAAAAAGAAAAAGCGACTGGGAGAAAGCTAAGACAAGCAGTCATGTTGCTTTTCTCACAAAGCTCTCACTCAAGATTTTGTTTGGCGTTCATCTCTCATGTCCATAGCGCTGTCCTCCTTCCTGCGGCGCCTGAGATTTTGAGGGCACGTGAGGGCACGGGCACTGAAAAGCGCCCAAAGGCGAGAAGATGCGAGAAGGCTCGAAGGCTCTGCGGCTCTGCGGGCTCCCCACGTGCCGTCTTCCCTGTACACGAAGATCCACCCCAACCTGAGTTCTGCGCAAAAACACTCAGAGCCAACACGGATGACACAGGGTTCCCAGCACAGCGCCGCCCGGCAGCGCCAGCACCTCTCTCGCGAGATCTCGCGAGACTTCGACCCATCATGCTTCACTCGCTTCACTCGCTTCACTCGCCTCACTCGCCTCACTCGCTTCACGCGGGGATCACGAAATCATAGGGGACCATAGGAGATCTCAGGATGCAACTCTGCCTCCCAGTTCACATCGTACTCCAAACTCGAAGCCCTCCCACATTGGAATTCCTTCCTGAACGTTTGGTGCTTTGAGCTCCCTTGTTTGAATCTGAGGCTGCTGAGTGCTGTTGGATTGCAGCTTCACACCCCCCTTTAAGCCGATGTTTCGGGCTGTTTCGGACGTGTGTGGGGACTGTGGCGTCCGACATGCAAGGTTGGGTTTCGAGATGCAAAGCCGGCGCCCGAGATACATGGCACCAAGCAGTTTGCATCTCGAAAACCCAACCTTGCATGTTGGACCAGGATTCTACTTGCTTTACTACACCCACCTTCGACGCTTGGACCAAGAGTTTGCTATTTTCTTGTTTTGACGCAATCCAAAGAAAACTCCTCCGTTTCTTTACATTTACCAGGATTTCCTCTACGCCCTCAGCAGCTTGCATCTCGAAAACCCACCTGTGCCGTCTGGACCCAGATTTTATTTTGTCATTTCACTATTTTACTGTTTTACCATTTTACTATTTTATCATCTTACTACTTTACTATTTTACTATTTTACAATTTACTATTTTACTATTTTACTATTTTACTATTTTACTATTTTACTATTTTACTATTTTACTATTTTACTATTTTACTATTTTACAATTTTACTATTTTACTATTTTTCTATTTTCTATTTTTCTATTTTTCTATTTTACTATTTTACTATTTTACTATTTTACTATTTTACTATTTTACTATTTTACTATTTTACTATTTTACTATTTTACTATTTTGCTATTTTGCTATTTTGCTATTTTACTATTTTACTATTTTACTATTTTACTATTTTACTATTTGTACTTTTTGCTATTTTACTTTTTTACGTTTTTGCTACTTTACTATTTTACAATTTTCCATTCTTATGATTTTCTCTTTTACTCTTCTGCTCTTGTTCTTTTACTCTTTTACTCCTTTACTCTTTTGCTCTTTTACCCTTTTACTCTTTTACTCTTTTTGCTCTTTTACCATTTTGCTACCAAGAAAGTTTGCATCTGGTCGGCTGCGTGGCGGCGCGGCGGCCACTCAAGGTTCTTGGCTGAACTCTTGGCTGAGCTCTTGCAATCTCCTAAGTCTTGTGGGCCTTCGTGTGAAGGGGTTCTGACGTGACGGTGACGGAGCATGTGCAGAGCATCTGCCGAGCACCCTAGACCCCTTGGGGAAGTGTGGCGGGGGAACCCCGCACCCTCCATTCGATGCCTGCAACTTCGGCGGTGGCAAACTGCTGGGCGGATCCTGAGAGGGCAAGCATTCAAAACTGAGAAGTACATCAGACCCCATCAAAAGAAGAAAAGCGGAGAAAGAGAAAGAGAAAGACGGAGAGAGAGGAGAGAGAGAGAGAGCCAACGGGACAGACAGCCACGGGGGCACTCTGGGGTGCTGACCGTCGATGTCCTTCCCCAGGACGACGTCGTCCACCCTGGAGGCACCGAAGGCCTCTCACAGAGAGTCGACTGAGGAACGTGCTCGATCTTCTCTGTGTTTTCTGACTGGATTTTTCGGGCGCCCTGGCGGGGAGGTGGCGGCGGCCCTCCAAGCGGCTCTCCTCACCGGCCTCAGGAGTGATGGCCACATCAAATGCCACAGATGCCACAGCCATGTGTGCCAGTGTGCCCTTTTCCCATACGACCCTGGATCTTCTGCAACTGTCCCCGTTTTTTGGAATCACAACTTTCAGCGAGGAGAGATCTCTTTCCTTGAGTTGATCAACAGCCGGGCTCCCCTGGCGCAGCGGCGCCCGGCGGCACCTGCGAGAAAAGGCATCGGGGAAACTCTGTCACGGTCCACTCAGAAAACACGCTTGTATGAGACAGAATGGAAACACCATGAAAACAAAACAAAACTAGTTTACTTCGAACATCCCCACCCTATGGTAGAGATAGAATGGGGTTGGGCACTCCCGGGGGACACTCGCTCTCTGGGGTTGGTCCAGGGAGACTCTGGGGCTGGGCACTCCGGCGAAAAAACTCTTTGGGGGTTGTGGGGTCACTTTGGGGTTGGGCACTGGGATGAGGAGTAGACCGGGGAGAAGAGTTCCGAATAGAAGAGTTGAGCTTTCTTCACATCTAACAGTAAACCTCTTAACAACCCCAAAACACCGAAGAAAAAGGGGTGGGTGGGGAAGAAGAAAAGGCAACAGCTAACACACCACCCCAACCGCTCGGGGCTCCTTCGGCTCCTGCGGCGTCGGCGAAGAGCGCAAACTGCTGGGCGGAGCCTGGCAACGAGCAGCACAGCACCAAAAAGTGCGAACATCAGGCAGACTGCAGAGTCAGACTTGGAGATGTTGGGCAACATGTTGGGCACAACTGTTGGTATGTGAGGCATGTTGCTCAGGTGACACATATGACATCTCCCCCAGTTGCCCTCCTTGCCTTTCCCTCCGCACAAGCTGGTCCGTGCAGATGACTTGTTCTTGAGGCCATTGTTTCATGGAGTTTCGTCAGTTTCGTCTGCCCACAAATGCAGCTGATGAGCGTCTGCCAGTCTGCCAAACTAAAGTCTTCCAGGGGCTCGGGGCTCAGGGCTCAACTTTTGCCGCCTTTTACGCCAGCATCATGCGCATCACGAGCCTGTCGTCTCCAAAACTCTTTCCCAAGCTTTCAGCGGATGCCCGCGTTTCTCAGAAGGTGGGGATTAGACTCGAAAAACGGATGGCGCCCATCCGATTTGCACGTCCCCCCTTGGCCCGCTCCCCCCTCTAGCTTCCTCCCAGCCGGCTCGAGTCTGAGGGGGGGAGGAATATTTTTCAGAAAGGATTTGGCCATTATGCAGAAGCACAGGCCTTGCTTCAACAGACCAAAATCAGACGATGTTTGAGTTCAACAGTTTAATTACCCGTTGTCAAACGGTTTAGGGTTTAGGGTTTAGGGTTTAGGGTTTAGGGTTTAGAGCTTAGGGCTTAGGGTTTAGGGTTTAGGGTTTAGGGTTTAGGGTTTAGGGTTTAGGGTATAGGGTTTAGGGTTAAGGGTTTAGGGGGTGCAGTCATCAGGTCTCTATCCTCCACTTCACCGAAACTTGGCAACATCCAGTTTGAATTGGCCCGAAAGCTTCAGTTCACTTCCCAACACCCGGTTCCTGATGGCTTGATTTCGGAAGCGGAGGCTTGTCTGCGGAAGGCCCAGCCGAGCTAAAAGCCCCGGTTCAGCCACGGCCCAAGCCTCTAACATTCAGAGTTTGGCAGAAAAAACCCCACAAACCCGACGCTGGCAGCACTGGCACAGTTCTACTCAACGGCCTGTGGCACCTCTGGACGGTGTGTGTTTACTGAGTTTAACCCCATCTTGAGAACAATTGAGAGCTTACGATGGCCTGTCACGGGGTTGGAAACACAGATATGGAGGACGTATCAAGCCCCTAGAACGGTCCCTTCGCAGGCCATCGATGTCTCTGCCCAGCACAATGTCATCCACCCGAGAAGCTCCCACAGCCTAGGACTGCAAAAAACAAACTCAAGAGCAGCTACAACTCTGCAGCTACCAAAAGTGCAGCTACCAAAAGTGCAGTGGCAGACAGTGCAGCTACAGTGCAGCTACAGACGGTGCAGCAGCTTAGTAGCCGGAATGTGGCGACGGCCACGGCCCAAAGTTTGGCTTTCCTCCTCCTTCCCTTTGTCGGGCTTCCCTTCCAGAATGGCAAGGCGACAAGAGCAGGGCGTGAAAGGGAGCAAAGAAACATGAAAGGGAACATGGGAGAAAACAAAGAGACAAAGCACGAAGGCAGCGAAGGCAGCGAAGCAGTACGAAGCAGTACGAAGCAGCGAAGGAGCGAAGAAGTGAAAATCCGACCCATGCCGGAGCCTAACAAAAATGCCACTCGATCTGCAGGTCCTGCGCACAAAAACACGAGAAAGGTCTCAGAGAGAAAGAGAGCCGTTCTTTTTAGATGTCCCTTTCAGCTACTTCTTTCTTTGCAGATCCCGCAGGTCCTGCAAGGTGCCGGCGACCTTCGGCTTTGCTCTCGCTCGGCCCACTCGGTGTGGCACTTGGTATGGCACTCGGTGCACTCGTTGTTGCTGGCAAGTGCCGCCGGCCTCTTCAAAGGGAGGAGAAACAAAAAGAGATACCCCCGGCCATTCTGTCTCAATCTTTTTCGAGGGTCCTGCGGGCCTCGGCTGGTCAGCGGCATCTTTCCGACTCCCGCCCCGGCCACTGCCGCCCCGGGCACCCCGGCCGCCCCTCGGAAGAGCTGGTCCTTGGCCTTTAAGAACACAGGATCCGAGGAGCCATCGACATCCGTGCCCCAAATGAGCTCGTCCACCTCCGAGGCGCCGCCTGGAACGCAGCGCTTTCCCATGAGCTTGGGAGCCACACCAATGCTCTTGCAACCCGCTGCGCCCCTCGAAAACTCCAGCTGCTTCAACGTCGAAGTGGTGGACCCGTCTATGTCGCGTCCCAAAAGAATCTCGTCCACTTGGGACGGGCCTGCCCCACCACAGCCTGTTTCAGGGAGTGGCTTAACAGGCCTCACACAAATCACCTCACCGGCTAACAAACAGCTGCACAAGCAAAACAAACATGACAAACACCCCAGTCAAGATGCGAAGATGCGAAGATGCGAAGCGCACAGCAACACTCAGTGTCATACAGTGTTTCACACAGTGTCGTAGCCAAGAGGCTGCGTTGCACTTCGCCTTGCTCTTCTGCCTTTGGCTTCAGAAGCCAATGTTTATGGACTCCAGCAGCTCCGTTGTAGAGCTCCCCGTACTGAGAGGGATGCTCCGAAGCCAATGGAGTCATGTCATCTCGCAGAAGCCTCCCCCAAATCGCGCAAATCCCAAACCTCCCCCAAAATCCCCCAGAAATCCCCCCCCAATAAAAAACGCTCACGCGACTCGCAAGGGCCAAGAAACCCATCCACTTGTGAGACATTGGCCCCCGGGAATCGGCGACGCGGGGTGTCGTATGGCCGTGGGGGTCCCGTCACATGCGGCCGCCCAGCCAGGCCGTCCTGACGGTCATTAGCCGCATTAGCCGCATTGGCCGCATTAGCCCCATTAGCCACCGCTTCTACGAAGACTTTAAGCAGCGTGTGCAGCTCTCCAAGTGTGCAGCAACACACTAACAGATACAAACAGCCAGCTAAAGAAAACGATCACTGCGATCACCGCGACTTCATCACAACGTACTCCGAGCGTCGTAAAGCTTGCTGTGGTCTTCCGTAGAGTAAACTCGCAAGGATGCCTTGCTTTGCTGCGCCGTGTGAACTCCGGCTGCGGAGTGGAACTGCCAGGCGTACATGTCATTCTTCAAAAGGCTGCCACATTCGGATCCTCTGCATTTTTTGGCAAATCAAAAGCGAAGCATGCGAAAGACACAGTTGCACGGAAGCTGTAATTCCAGTGTACACACCACTTCTTGAAAACAGCTGCACTAGACAACGAAAGTGAAGAACGGATTTGACTCGGTGATTGCCACATCTTTGATGGCTATGCGAAGTCACGCCCCGCCTTGGCAAGCAACGTCTGCGCGTGGGTAAACGCGCTTGCCCTCCACACGCGACCCTTGGTCACTTTTGGCGTGCAGTGCCGGGAGGCACATATAATCTTTGTCGTCATCTGCCCATTGCGAACCAAGGCCATGATGGCCATGATGACCATGATGCATGGCTCCATACAACACAACTAACGGCACTTCTGCTCAAGACGCATGATTGCAGTAGGCACGTTGCCATCAAGAAACCACAACTCATGAACCATACTGCCATACATACATTTGCTACGAGCTGCTACTGCGTCTTGGTACGATGCAAGGAGATGGGGTTGTAAGGAGATGGGGTTGTTGCTTAACTGCGCATGGAAGGTGCATATTGCTAGTTGATTTCCTTGACATTGAAATCCATAACTTTGCTGGGGAATGACGTATGTCAGCGTGAATGCGTTACAAAACCATCAATGCAACGATCATCCACGACCACAGAAAAATGCCAACCCCTAAATGCCATAAACTACCAGAAGCACTTCTAGCCACAACGTTGCAAGCGAAAAAACATGCGGCCTCCCAGCCATGATCCCTTCCCGCAAGCAATGCCCATCATTTTTCAGCAGCCTTGCCCAACAGGCAGACGGTTAAATCAAAAACGTAGTGACTCGACACACGCAGACAGCAGCGTAGGGCTCGGTAGCCACCACAGAGTCCATAAATTTGAAAGTTCCAAAATATGTGATTTGGAACAAATTTCGAGGGGGGTGATCTTGAATTGACGATCGCTTGTTCACATTTGATAGGAACAAATGCGATTCCTCACGGGGAGCAGCATCGCGCGCTTCAGCTATATCAACAACTAGCGCGGTTGAATTTGTCTCGATCTGCTGTCAATTTTCAACGAAAAGACGTCGTCAAACTCTTTCAACAACGCCTGCTTCAAATGCAATAGTCGACTCTGGGCCCTCCGGGTTTGCCGCACGTCTCCTGCCAGATCTGGCTTCTGCATCGTTCAAGGAGTCCAAAATCGACGGCCCATTTTTGGTGTCCGGAATGAGGCTGCTTTTTGTTTTAAACTAGAAGAGGGATGGCCAACACGAGAGCCGTCAGCCATGAGCATCATCGGCAGTCGCCCTGAAGCCCAAGCTCATAGTCCAGAGCGCCTTTCAGGAAGCAAGAACTCAGGATGCACGCAACTGCTATTCGTCCCGGCACTCCAAGCTGAATAAAGCAAGAGTCGAAGTAAGTCACCGTGCATGTTAGTTAGTACAAAACCATGTTCAGCCACCCCAGCTCTCAACTGCACACGACATTCCCGTTGCGAACGCTTTCTTTTCACTCGATGTGGTGGTAGCAAAGTCGACGCTAAAGAAACGCAAAGGACCCCCGCCAGATCCAGCAAGCCTGAACAAATCCTCCGCTTCTGGAAGGAAAGCTGGCACTGGGCTACAACAAAATGAGAATTTGCACGGATTGATGAAAAGTACTCCCTTGAGGCACGAGCTGACGCAAAAGAAAGTAGCATAGTACGAACACGCACAAAAGCGCTCACTTGCACCACATGCGAAGGCCAGGAAAAACAGGAGCCCACACCAGGGGGAAGCTAGTGCGACCGAGCGCCTCTGGGAGCTGCACTGCCAGGCCATACACACTTGAAGTGACAGTGAGTGGCATCCTGAAGGATGCACAACAGATACTGACTTGGGAGTGGAGGGTGGGTGCAAAATGCTGAGCCCACATGATCTGCTGACATCTTAGAGCTACCCATCGCAAACACCATGGTCCCCGAATTCGCTGGTTTCAAAAGCGACGGTCCCCGAATTCGCCGGTTCCAAAACCATCGTAAATACCATGGTCCCCGAATTCGCTGGTTCCAAAAACCATCGCGAAAACCATGATCCCCGAATTCGCTGTTCCAGCTACTTGTACACAGTACAAAACTCTCTTCAAACGTGTCGCAAAATCAGCCGAGTGCAAAGAAAACATGCAAAAACTGCTTCATGCTGCTGCTAAGCACATGCTACTAGGTTCACATGCTCACGTTCGCTGCAAGTTCAAGCCACACTACCAAAGCTAACAAAGGCCGACGGAATCCTAAGCCTAAGCGAGCATTTTGACTTTGCCGGAAATGCCGCTTAGAATTCAAAGCATTATCTCGTCAATGGACCGGCATCAAGATGAGAACGTATTGGTCATCATGGGAATATATAAATTCAGAACTACATTCAAAAGAGATCATGCAAGTGAAGCAAACAGAATTCGGACATCTTCTTTTGTCCAAGTGGGGTCGATGACTGTGGCTCTGGCACCTTGTGGCTGAGTAGGTCTTAGCACCTTACTGAAACGAGCGAAGTCTGAGCTCTGCGGCCACTGCTGCTCTTACAGGTTCGACCTAGTGAGTCGGCCTGAAACAGGATACGGTGAGTCACGTTAAGAAGCTTGTGGTTGATGCTGAGCTTGACGCAGCATTGTCACTTGGTCGCTCAGGTTCATGCTCGAGGTCCACAAACTGTGAAAACACAGCAGCAGCGCGCTGAACCCTATTTTTCTCACGACTTGAGCCAAAGTCATAAGCCGGAGGCTTCGTCAGTGAAACTCTTTACACACAGGTGAAAACTCTGCTCTGCCACGTGTTCTCCACAGCCACAAAACAAATTCAAACGTCAGTGGGAGTTCTCGGGACCTACCCAACTACACCTAAAGCAAGCAAAAACGTGCACAGTCACTTCTACAGCTTCCAGACACACATCCCTACAACTCAAGCAATTCAAAAGGCTTTCCCACTTAAAGCAGCACTCCCGTCGAGCCTCCAAGGCACAACTACGGAGTTCCTACAACTACACACACACAACTCTGAGCCAGCATGCAGGACAACAAAGTTAACATGTCCTTAGACAGGAACTTTCACACCCCCGCTTGGACTGTGATGCCTCAGAGCCACGCACTTCTTCACAGCTCGGTGTTTCCAGTGCTTAAACATCTCATCCCAGGCAAAGTCCGAAAGCGAGCACTCCTACTGCCGACCTAAGAAGGTGTTCCTACAAGACCTAACGTGACTTTCGCAGCACGCAAAAGAGCTCTACCCAGTTTAGTCGGATAGATACCTGTTTCTTCGACACTAGCAAGTGAAACATGCTGATGACTTTTGTCACAGGGCTTTCCAGAGAAGATTTCACTCCACTCCTCTCGGTTTGTAGCAAAGAACCACCGCTTAAAGACCCCGTCGAAGGCACAACGGTCCACAACTCTTCCAAAGTTCAGACCAAGGCGCTTCTTTTCTTTCAGATAACTTTCCTCCTTCCAAAGACCACAGTTCTTTGGCCATTCCTGGGTAACCAGGATCTCTTTGCAGCGGTCCTCCAGAAGTCGTCCTAAAGCTTTCCAAGATGCAACATGCTTCTTGACCTGCTCTCGCCACCGATGTCGAAACTTCGGTCGATGCCAGTTCTTAAAGCGGTAGCTACATCCAGCGGTACACGGGGAAGCTATGTGGACATAGATCTGGGGCGGTTTCCTACTCAACAGACACAGCAAGACCTCTCCTAGAAACATTTGAGTACTCTTGTTTAAGAAGTCTTCTTTCTCAGTTATGCCTATATATGCTACTCGGTCACGAGCACACGCTCGGCACAACGCACTGTCCGTTGAACAAAACACCTCGATCACAAGCAGAGGAACAGATCCCAACGCAAGGTCTCTTGCCACTGGCTCGTACTTCGCCAGGTTTGTCGGGATTTTCTCAAGCTTTTCACATACTTCTTCAAGTTCTTCCATTCGTTCACGAAGGTGTTCAGGAACTACAAGACCCTGAAGGTCTTCTTCACACACTCTTTCCAGTCCACACGCAACCAGCAAATGCTCAAGCAACAACTCCTCAGGAGATTTCGTCAGTCCATCGGCTGGATTCCGTTCTCCACTGATGAAGCTTAGAATCAGCCTTTCCAGGTGGACTAGCTCTTGAAGATAGCGATGACGAAGCTCCAGGTGCCGAACACGGCGTAACAACCCCGTCATTTTGCTAATCGACAAAGCGGCTTCCGAATCCGAAGCCAGGTGAATCGGAAACTCACCGGTCTCTCCTTTGGGTATTCCATACAGGAGCGTTTCCATGAGCAAAGACAAGTACACCGACTCTTTGGCTGCCTCAGTCAGGGCTGCCAATTCGGCCTCCGCCGAACTCAACGCGGTCACCGACTGTTTCCGCGAGAAAGTTTTGATCATGATGCCATGCCACTTCACGATAGCACCAGACACAGAGCAAATGTTCCATGACGCATCCACAAAGCCAGAGAGCATGGTTTCCGAAGCGCAGCAAGGATACTCAAACGCTTCTGCCGAAAATCGCTGAAGGTACTCAGGCAAAGCCATCACCCAGCGAACCACGCGTCTCAAGCAAGCTTCTGCCTGGCTATCTGGGTCACTCTGATACCGGCCCAGAAATCCTACCGGGTAGGACAAATGCGGCAACGTCAGGCTTGCCCACATCAACTTACCAAGCACACGTCTATAGCGTTCATACGCCTCAGTGCTGATAGGTGTTCCAGCCTCCTTCTTCCGGTACTCCCTCTCGAGGTTTCCCAGCACTGGTTTCACACCTTTTCCGCTAATGCCAAACTCTTCTCCAAGCGACTTCAAGTACCCCGGCTTCAGGCCAAAGAACACAGGTCCGTGCTCAGTGGTTCGGGCGATCACTCGACCCAAGAACTCGAGCTGCCCAGTCTTTGCCAGGTTCTAGAAGCCCTGTCTGCTTCATTTTATAGATCTTCGCTAGCTTAGCGTACAGATCCTTGGCAACTGGCGGATTCTGGGAAAAGATGATGAGATCGTCAACATACACTAACACCAAGGTCAGCGCACCATCCTTCTCAAGCCGGTGATGCACAGTAGGGTCGGCAGTCTCACCAAACCCAAACTGCTTACGCAGCGTGCTTGTAAACTCTAGGTACCAGCTCAGTGGTCCTACTCTCAAGCCATTCATGGCTTTGTGTAGCTGCGCAAACAGCGGCTTGTTCTCCTCATCATACATCCCATTCGGAAACCGGATACACTCTACTCCCTGCACAGGCGCTTGCATGAAGGCAACGCTCACATCTGCTGACAACAAGGTGCCACCTCTGACAGCATGAATAGCAAGGACACCTCTCAAGGCTTCCAAAGACGTGGTGGGGGAATATATCCCATCA